GTTTGGCATTTTGCGTATGCCTCGGCATGCATGCCACTGCGATAAGTGGCTAAAAGCGTTGACTAAACTCCTTAATAGACGCCTTTGTTGCCTTTGAGTGTGTCTATCGCACTCAAGCATATTATATATAAGTGATATCAATTTTCGTGCATTGAAATATCGTTTTTTATTGTCAACAAATAATTTGCAAAGTTACTTTTAAGCGGTTTTCGTTTAGTTGATTAGATAATTGGGGCTACGAACGTATATATTATCGAAGATAGGAAATATAGATACGGATGGGTCGATCTTTATTTTATATACACTTTCAAAAATTCTTAAGCAAGAAGATATTTTATATAATAATAATAAATATTTGTAGTTAAAGAGTGTATATATATATATATATACGAAGAAGGGTACAACAATAATATTACTACTAAAAATACTAGTATTTAATATCAAAAATACTCTTACTAAAGATAACTAATACTATCTAAGTTACTTTTAAAAATACTACGATAAGTTTACGTTAATAAAACTATTTTATATTAAAATTATTGAAAATTGTATTCAAATTTCTACTACTTTTCTACTTTTACAAAATACTACTTTTTCAAAATTCTAATAACAAAAGTACCTACTACTACAGATACTTCTACTACTTAATCGAATCCACTGTTAATTTGCTTCCATTTTAACGAGTTGAAAACTTATTATTCTATGCGTTACACATTTCGCAATGCAATTATATTGCCCACTATATAAATAGGAAGATTTGCTATCTGCTTTAATGTTTGGCATAGAGAAAGAGAAATTAGCAAAACAATTTATTTTTAACTGGGACAATAAACTCGAAATTGTGGTAATTTATGCAGGTAATTGAGCGAGTTTTCACATGCAAATAAAAGCAAGCAAACATAAATACTGTAGATATATGTATATATATACATCTGAATTGTATAACAATGCTTTGTATATACTTTAAATAATTTGATTATCATTTTAACATTTGAACAAATTTACTCAACTGCTGATGCTTTATCTAAGTCTGAGCTTCTGGGTTATGTGTATTGAGATAGTTCATTGAAATACTATCCATAGTTGACTGGAGAAATTATATAAAGTGATTTGATAACTGTACCTTCTTCAATTCACATGGCTTGTTAACTACATTTAATTAGCTGTTTTCAATACTCAATCTTTTAACAAAAAAACAAGATATTTATATATTCCCATCTATAAGAGAAAATAATCCATCTAATCAGAATAATTTGTGATTATAATCAAATCTCTGAAGTTTTAATCAAGCCGTGACTTTTAATTTTAACTCATTTAACTAATTAAAAATTCTTAAAACTTTCAGTTTGACCTAAATTCTGTATTCAGTTAACATTTTAATACGCTCTAAATACGTTTCTCTTCTCTTTTAGAGCTGCGCCATAAATATTGTAGAACGTATACTTAATATAATTATGGCTTCTCTTGGATTTTCGCTGCATTTCTGCTTCTTTCCAATATCTCGAGCATAATTAAGGAATTTTAATGGGTTCTAGACACAGCAAATGGGCGTGCAAATAGCAACAAATAGTTCATTCATTAGTTGTTAACGATCTGAGTCATCTCTAGTTGTCTTTCCTGTGCCGGCTTTACGTTAGATGAGCTCGTAGTATGCAGTATTTGCGAATGACTAATACCTGCCCACTTATTAGATTATAATACAGTCTCTCACTCTCTCTCTCTGTCTCTTGTTACTTTTACTTGAAGAGCCCAAGTCTGTCGCTCTCTCTCCCTCTCTTATTCACTCTCTCATTGAAAAATGGCCAAAACGTTTTATCATTCTGCTGTCGTTTTATCTGCAAAATCCACCTGTGCTGGCCAGAGAGCCCTATCAATAAACCTTATATGTATGTATAGATACGCACTTCCTTTTACGCGCTAATTAACCAACACTAGCACAACTGAGAGCCATACAAAGTATGCGGTAACGCGTCATCAGTTCAATCCCAATGGGAAGTGAGTAACAAAAGTTGGTAATGTAATGCCAGGTAAAACGGAAGTGCACGAGAATGTGGAACCAAGCAAAGCAGCAGCAGAGGCAGTGGCAGCGTTGGCGGCAGCAATTGCAGTTAGCTGCGCTGCTTGCGTCGCAGTTGCTGTTGCGGCTGGCTGGGCGCATGCAGTTGGCGGCGACTGTTGAGTTTATTGGCCACAAGAAATAGCGATAGTACGAATTGTTGTTGTTGCTGTGGCAATTAGGCATTCATGAAAGCGTGCAGCAACACTCAAATCGGATACAGATTCGGAGTCAGATTCGGATTCGGATTCGGATTGTGTTTCGTAGTAGTCGAAATCTTTACGCGCCGCTGCAATATTTTCGCACTAATGAGCTTTGCTTTACGGTTTCTTCACGCCATGCCATGCCATCATCAAAGTGTTCTAATTACAAACAAAAATTATGAAAATGTATCTTCAAGCTCTTTTTCAAAAAGCCAACTGTGAAGCTGCTTGCACACACACACTCGCACATACTCGCACACACTCGTGTATCTGTGTTGGCCTTTGTGTGGCTTTTGGTTAGAGTCGTCATTGGTGGTATTGGTGTATTTGGTAATAGTCGACGCACAAACACAACCTCACTTTTTTCGCTACTCTTTTCTTTTGTTTGCTCGCAATGCAATTTCCAACACTTTACGCACTTGTTGCATTTACCGTTAGCTTTTTTGTTATGTTTTGCGTATTGATTCGCATTATTTTGACTAACAAAACGACGCTTTCTGTTGGCTTTAAGGCGCGGTCATTGGCGATCACACTTACACACACAAACACACATAGACACACAGACGCGCTCTTCCACTTGTATATGTGACAACAGAGAGAGAAACAAAAAAAGCACCGTTGAGATCAAAATTTGCTTGCGTTTTAGCGCGCACACGTCTGCTCGGCCGCGTCGTCGGACACCTTCTGAGCGCGCTGAGTCGCACAGAGAAGCTCCACGGTCAAATCCCGCTCGCTCACTCTCTCTCCCTCTCTCTTTCTGTCGCAGCTCTGGGTGCGCGGGGGAAGCTTTGCGCGAGCGCAACGAAATATTCAAAGTTCGCTCGCAGTGGACAAAGCCAAATGTCGCCTCGCTCTTGTTGTTGCAGTTGTTGTTGTCGGGTGGGTTTTTTGTTGTTGCTTTTTGGCTGTGCTTCTGCTGAGCGTGCGACTCGCATTTACCTTGGCCGAAATGACAGCAGCCACAACAGCTTTACAGCTTTTGGCCCGTTACCTGTTGCTCTTGTGCGCTGTTTGAATTAACAGTCGCTATCAGTGAGCTGTGTTTAGTGCACCACTGTTAAGTTAACATACTGTTAATTGTTACTCAATGTGCTGAGGGCACATAGACTGGCTGCATTACAATCATATAATAAAATGCTCCGTTGAAATTCAGAAAATAATATTTGTAAGGAACATTCCATTTATTTAATTACTAATATTTTTGGAAATAGGCTTTTTGGGCATTGACTGTGTCTTAGTATTGGCGATTTAATAAGTCTTTTATTATCCCATCAGAAACCATAATAAGATTTCTAAATAATCAGAAGTTCAAGTATATATAGACAAATATTTGGGTTTAAGTACAGAAGTCTTATTCTATATTATAAATATATATAAGAAATTCTCTTTTAGGCAATGATAAAGCCGTATTAGCTTACTAATGCAAAACATTGTAACTAAACAAACATATTATTTTAATTTTTGTGGAATACTTTTAGGCTGTGGCAGAATATGTTAACGGTGAAAAAGTCAGGAAAAATTTGTTGGAAATGGTTAAAGGAAAAGTAAGGTTGTGAGTTTTTGTATGTGGACTTATCATTTGCGCACTTATCATTTAATAGTTAAAAAAATTAAAATTTTTTAGTTTAAAATATTTAAATTAAAGCCTTATAAATGTGATGTGATGTGAAAAATACAAAAAATTTGTATTATTATGTAAAAAAATATATCAATAAATAAAAACAAATCTTCAGTCAAAATTAATTTTAATTTAAGAACATCTTCTAGGTTTTTCGTACTGATTACCAAATTATGGAACAGCTTGCGTCATTGTTTAATTTTTTAAATAAGATATAGAGAAGTTGAAACTATCTGGCAATCGAATGTACCCGACTTGTGCACTCTTTCTACTCTTTAAAGGTTATATATAACTGAATACTTAAAAATCGTTCTAGTTTAAGCTTATGCTTAGCCTAAGGGCCAAGAATGTTTTTATTGCATACTTTCGGGCTGAGCAAAAAATATTTTTGTAAATATGCAAATTATTAAATATAATTTTATACATAAATAAAACAAGCTCTAAGCCCTCTTTCATAATTGTTTATAATTTATTAAAGTGAAGCAAAAAATGCATTTTCATTGCTCATTTGCCTCTAACAATTTTTTGCAAAATACTTAATTTTTTTTATTATAGTCAACAAAAGAAATGCTAGTTATGAATTCATTCCATACAACTTTGGGGTGACTTCCTTTTGCAGAGCAATAAAAACAAAAAGTTTTAGCCATTTTGGCAGAATTTGTATTCTCACGCCGCGTCTTTGAGCAGGCGAATCACGTGCGAGGGCCGCTGGTGATATCATCAGATTCGCTCGCATCTTGACTAATATAATTATGGCTGACTTACATTTATTTTTTATAGTTGAGGTTTCCTGAATATCTCGGCTCGATGACAGCAATTTACGTGCCACATTAATTGAACTTTCTACGTGTTCGAGTGCGGCACTTGGAGTCGGAATCATGTTCAAGGCGTTGCCCCACACCGAGCCGAAAAAACCACCGCAGCTAGACGAGACGTGCCCGAAGTACACGATATTATAGATACATAATATATGGTATAAAGTCTGTGACATCGTTTGATTGATGGCATGAATCACCAAATCGCACAAAAAACACAAAAACTCAATTAATTTCAATGCAAACTTTATTTAAATATTTATTTAGATTTATATATATTTATTTTTAAATATATATCTGTATTTCTATGGATTGTGTGTGTTTCAAAGTCATTTAAAATTCAAGGAAGACCATGGAATGCTAGAAGGCTGTACTAAAAATCTATGAAACTAAAAACCTAAGATCTCTATCATCGACTAAGCCTATAAAAATTTAACTGCCATTCTACGGCCGCAGCTCGCGTGTTGGTTTTATTTCTTCTCTCTTCATTTTTAGTCTCTCGTATTTCTAAGCTTTACTTTTACTTTCAACCTTTATTTCCCTCAGCGTAGATCTTGAAACAAGATTTTGCATTCAAGATTATCTTACAAATTAAATATAAATTAAAAAGTTGTATACAATTATTTAGTATTGTGTGTTTTTTCTTCTTTTAATTACAAAACTAGTTCAGAAGGAGAAACAAAAACAACACTTAGTGTTGGGTCTAAACTAGTTGGATCTAAATTAGCGAATAGACTCTCGTATCAATTATGTGTATAACTAGGCGAAATTTAGATCATGTACTAAGAGTACGTACTAGGCTAAGCTAACGTTAGGTGTACTAAATGTACTAAAACACTAAACTAGCAGCTGATCTTTATGGAATGTGTACTAAAGTGTACTAAAAGCACAATGCTTCAAATGCAACAACAGCTTGTGGCACTTCTTAAGCTTATGGTCTAAACAATATAAGTGTACTAAAAATGATGTATGCTTAATTAAAGTATTTTCTTATTGCCTTGCCTACAGGCATTGTACTAAAATGTACTAAAAGTGCACTTATGGCTAAATAGCGCTCGGCCTGCTTTAGATCAGGCAAGAATTCCTGCTTAATGTGCTAAAAAAATTAAAATGCTCCCGCTCAGCGCCTCATGATGTCCTCAATGCTGAAGCCCGTGCGTCTGGGTGGTGCTGGAGCTGGCACCGCAGCTGGCGGTACAGCTGATGCTGGTGGTGCCGGCTGCGGTGCAGGCGGTGCTGCAGCCGCTGCCGGCTCCTTCTCGGGCGCTGCACAAGTCTCCGTTGCACTTGGCTTGCAGAGCAGCTGCCTGGGCGGATGCCGTGACATGTTCAGCGCATAGATGCTCGAGCTCTCCAGATACGAACGCTGATGCTCCACCAGATCCACCAGCGGCGGCGGCGGTGGCAAAATGCGCTTGCGCACCGGAATGGAGCCCAGGAAACTGGGCATTGCCTCGTGCGGCGAGTGCAGCGGCTGCGATGGCGGCCTGGCTGGCTCCGTGGCGCTGCCGCCGGTCACAATGCTGGGTGGTGTGGCGGACGCGGGCGTCGTCTTGCTGAGGTTCAGCGTCTTGTGGTGCAGATCGCGACGCACGTGCAGCATGGGCAAATAGGGATCCCCGTTGACCGGCGGCAGCAAGTGGGCATGATGTGGTGGGCCAGGTGGTGCAGCTGCTCCAGCTGGCGGTGGTGCATAGCGCAAGCCGGGCATAAACGTTGTAGGTGGTGCAGCTGCCGTTGCATGTGGCGGCGGTGGCTCCTCGAGCTGCCGCTCGCCGTGTGGCCGCATGGTGTAGGTCTCGCCGCCCTCGTGATGGCAATGGGTGACGCCCTGGCGCTCCGGCTTGGATGTGCTGCCGGCAGCGGCGGCTGCTTGGCCTGCCTTGAAGCGTGCCACCAGCGCCACTTCGGCCTTCTCCTCCTCGGTCTCCGTTTCCAGTTCCTCATCCTCAGCCAAATCCAAGGCACCGGCTTCATGCAGCTCCTCCTCCTCGTCGAAGTCGTCGAACTCCTCCTCGCTATCCTCGTGCTCGTAGCTGGCGCTGCTGCTGTTGGTGGCCTTGCGCTTCAGGCGCATGCGCTCCGCCTCATCCTTGTCGGACTTCTCGCTCAGATTGTGCACTGGCGACTGGCGTGGCGAGTCGACTTCTAGCAGCGAATCCTCCTCATCGCCGCTGAGTTGCCTGGCCTCATCCTCCTCGCCGACGTCCACATAGTCAGCGCTGTTCACCTCGCCCACAGCGTGGGTCAGCGCATGACGCCGCAGATCGCAGTTGCGCCGAAAGACCTTGCCGCAGGACGAGCACTCGTAGGGCTTGTGATCGGTGTGGGTGAGCAGATGGGTCTTCAAATTCGAGCGCTGATTAAAGCTGCGACTGCACACGGGACACTTGTGCGGCGACTCCTCCATGTGCAGAATCTTGTGCACGGCGAGGGTGCGCGACTGGCAGAAGCCCTTGCCGCACTCGGTGCACTTGAATGGCTTCTCCTTCGAGTGTATGTACCTGGGTGAGAGAGAGCGAGAGAGGGGGGAGCTTTGAATTGACTGTGCTTACTGCGTGGGCGTTTTTGGTAGCTGGCAGCTGGCAGCTCAAGTTGACAGTTATCTGCATTATCTCTCTGCCCGCTCAGATAAAGTGCGCTGATATATTTTATGTTTATGGCAGCCATCTTTGAAATGGCGTCCACTTGTTGTTGGAACAAAGCAGCGGCAGCAGCAGCAGCAGCAGCAGCAGCAACTCACAGCAGCTGCTGTGACTCTTAAATAAAAATCAAAACAGGTTCTCTGGCTCAGATCTGTCTTGGGTCCAGCTTGGCAGTGTCTTTCGACTGGCTTCAAGGCGCACCGAGATTCTTCTTGCTGTTTTTCTCAGCGCTCGCCCTTCGAGCCGCTTCTCCACTTCTTCAGTTGCTGCTGCTGCTGAGAAATTAGCCCCGCGGCAAAGCAAACAAACGACAAATGGACCGAAACCGAACGATCAAAAGACGCAAAGCATCTCGGACAGGCCAACACACACACACGCACACACACACACACATATGCTAACTTGCTGTCTGCTGCTGTAGGTATCCAATGAGCCGAGTACCCCTTGCCTCATGCCTCATGCCTCTTGCCCGCTGTCCCGACCCTCATTGCCAGCCCCCGCCGCTCCCCAAATGAAAACCAACAAAGTTAATTAACTCGGTCTTGAGGCGGCATGTTCTACCTTCAACTTGGCTCAGTGCGAGTCAACTGACTTTATGCAGACGTTTGGCTGCTAAATTTCGCTGAGATTGCTTAGAGTCTGCTCGGTCCTTCCCTCAGCTACTTCTGTAACAGAAAAAACCTTCTCCAAAGTGTGTCTCTAGAGAGTTCCCATGCTATCCTATACTACCTCCAACAACTCCAGCTCTGTCCACCCGCATAAACTCTGCTTCGCTACAAATCTTCTTCTAGAGTATTTCAGCTTCGACTTGGCTAACTGCAACCTCAAACACTCGAGTTGTTTTGTTCGTTTGTTGCTGTTGCCGCGAGGCATGCCAGCAATTACGAGTGCTGGCACGCCCACTGCCGTTCTGGTCGTGCCCCACGCCCCACGCCCCACGCCACAGCGGGCACTCACCTGTGATCCCTCAGGTGATCCTGTCGCCTGAAAGCCTTGCCGCAAATATCACAGGAATAGGGTCGCTCGTCCGTGTGCGTGCGCTCGTGTATCAGCAGATTGTAGGACTTGGTGAACTGGCGATTGCAGAATTTGCAGATGAATTGCTTCTTGGGCCGCGAGGCGCGGCCAGGTGCGCGCAGCAGCCGCCTGTCCAGGCCGGCGTGCATGCCCGGTCCGAGGCCCGGCGGAAACAGCGCCGCAGCGGTCGCTGCTCCGGGCGGAAAGGGAAAGCTGCCGGCGCCTGTGGGCGATGGGCCCGGTCCGGTCAGATATGGCGGTGGTGGTGGCGGCCCATAGAGCACACCTGGTGGCGGCACACCTGGCGGCGGCACGCCCGGCGGCCCGGCCCGCCCCAGCATGGCGGCAGCGGCGGCTGCCTCGCGTAGCGCCAGCTCCTTGCGCTTGTCGGCCATCATGGCGATGATCTCGTAGTTGGAGTTGCTGCCAGCGCGCGCCTTCGCCTCCAGTGCCTGCCGCGTCGGCAGCACCGGCACAAAGGCCGATATCTCGCGATGATGCGGCGGCCCGCCATGCAGACCCGACGAGGCCAAATGCTGCTGATAGGCCAGCTGTGTTTCGTAGGCAGCAGCCGCTGCCGAGATCCTGCTAGCTGAGGAGTTGCGTGAGTCGCCGGCGCTGCCGGAGCCATCCGCATTGCCGGCTCCAGCTCCGCCGGCGCCGCCGCCACTTGCCGCAGCAGCCACAGCGGCTACCGTCGACATGAACTGATCCATGCGTGAGGCGCGCAACATCGGTATGGCGCCTCCGCCCTCGCTGGCTGTGTTATCCGTGGGCATATTCAGCGCAAGCGCCTACTCACATGCCATCAGACCTTCAGCTGCAGATAAGAGCAAATAGAGAGAGAAAGAGAGGGAGAGAGAGGGTGGGTAGGGGAGAGAAAGAGGGAAAAATAACAATTAGTCAAATGTTGTGTTAATTGTTTCGGCTTATTGGAGCTCTATTGGGCTTATCTTAATTGCTCGTCAAGTTCCATAAAAAGTTTTTTTCTATTTTTTGCTGCTCCATACACTGCCCAAGCCATTGGGCTTAATGCGAGCACATTAGCTATGGGCAATAGTTTGGCATTATTTTATGATTTAAAGAAACTTTAAAAAATTAATGAAAAAAGTTTTTAAAATAAATTAAAAATTCAAAAAAAAAAATTATTTACTACAAATTGAAATCCATTGAAATATGTTGAAGAAAAAAATAAAATAAATTTCAGCTGCTGCCTAAGAAATTAAGAACAAAATGATTACTATTCAGGCAACTCGTATACAAAGGTCTTTAATTATTATTGTAGTATAATTATCATTTAATTAAAAAAAATAAATAAATTTATAAATTAAATTTTATTAATATTAATATATGCAAAGTTCTTTAAAGAATTTCTAAATTATGGAAAGAATTTAAAAAGTTTAACATTAATATTTATTATACATAAATTATTAAAAAATTTAAGGGAACACAAATATTTGTTCAAAATTCAATTGAAGACAAGTCAACTTTAGCTTAAGAATTAAAAATCAAATAAAGTTGACGAAGATTGAGCTACGAGTTCATCGAAAGCATATGCAATATGAGCCTCAAGTCGCATCTTGATTAAATCAAATTTGATGCCACAAAATATTTTAAATATAATCAATAAATAAATTTCAAGTAAGTTCATGTAAAACTTTCCATAATAAAAAATATTCCTGGTCATTTTTAACAATGCAAAACAAGAGCTTTAAAAAACAAATGTAAAATAATAATAAATTAATGCACTCATATCATATACTCAATTTACATATCTGAATTTTCACATTAAAAACAAAAATTATAAAAAAGAAGCAATAAAAATTAAATAAATCACAGAACATTCGATATTTGATCGCATTTGACTCGATGTGAGACTTTGTTTCTTTCTTGAAAACCTTGTTTTCTGTTAAAGCAGGTGCTATAAAACAAGCTCACCTGAGTTGTTTGTCAATTAAGTTATTTTAATAATATTAATTGAACCTTTGTTGAAAGTGAATTTTGTTTTTAGACTCGCATAGAGTATATTTATTTACCAAAACACTTTGCTCGATCTTTTTTTTACTAGGTAAATGAATTTTTGTTGTTTTTTTATTTTTGTTTTTTATTTATTTTTATTTTTATTTTTTTTATCAGCAACGGCGGCGGCAAGTGAAACTAAACTGAAACTGAATCGAAACGAGTCGCCGTCGCAGTTGGAGTTGTCGACGCTGCCAGGTTAGATAAGATTGTGCGTCTGAAAAACCTGACTGGCTCTGTGCATAAGCGAGCAGCACACAGTAGTAAGCGAACACACTCACACACATACACACACACTCGCACACACACACCGATACGGAGCGAGAGATACACAGAGATATACAGCAGGGGCAGCCATAGAAAATGCAACTGGTAGCCAAAAGCGAACTAAACGGCAGTCAGTCAGTCAGTTAGGCAAGCCTTGGGACTCGGTAGCAGCGGACGAGAGCTCGAGACCCGAATAGCGACCCGATGCGACCCGCTCAGTCGAGTGCTTACTGGATTTACGCAACAGGAGCCACAGCAGCTTCTCGCTTGCTGCTCTCTGCGAAACGTGATCATTGCGTTAAGAGCAACTAAATGTGGCAGAACAAGTTAGAAATAATGATAATGACAATAATAATGAAGAACGCTAAGAATATGAAAACGCCAAGAGACAGAAGGCACAGCAATGGTAATATTAATTTTCATAATATTCATAAACAAATTGTCAATAATAAATTAGATTATGATCATCGAGTAGGCAAGTAAATGTTGAAGAAATACTAGCAGTAATAAGAATGATAATAACAATAACGAAGAGGCGTATGATAATGATGTCAAGTAATGAATATAAATGTCAAATGAGTAATGATAATGGTAATGGCAATAATATTGATCATTTAAATGGAAATGATGATAACCAAAGCTAAGGATAATGACAATGATAATGATAATGATAATGATAATGATAATGATAATGATAATGATAATGACAATGAAAATGACAATGACAATGACAATGACAATGACAATGACAATGACAATGATAATGATAATGATAATGACAATGACAATGACAATGACAATGACAATGACAATGACAATGACAATGACAATGACAATGACAATGACAATGACAATGACAATGACAATAAATATTTGCAATGATAATGAGGCAGAATTTGATCATAAAGAGCAAGAAAATCCTCTACAGCCAGATAACACGGGCACTGCTAATGCCAATGACAACATTAATGAAGCAGCTTTTGTGTAACATTGTAAGCCCAAGCAAATATAAGTTGAGAAGAGTGAACAATAATATTGATAATGATATTGACAATAATAACGACAATAATAATGAAGCAGAACATGCACAAAACGAGAAAGTTCAGAAGAAGCAGTAATAATTACAATAATGATGACAATTCCAATGATCAGTGTGACAATGATAATGACAATGATCATATTGTCGATCATAAAACGTAGTAGTCGCGTCTTAAGCACATTTAAGCAGACGTTTAACCAGACAAACAACAAAATTGCCTCGCAGTCTACGCCCTGGTCTCCCCCTCAAGCACCCCCGCAGAGCCCCTTTTGGGGCCCAATCTGCTGCTCGACTGCTGTGCCATGACAGTTTTGCTTATCATTTGCTGGAAATGTTCTCGACTTGTGACTGTTGCGCCTTGAAATGAGTTTTCACAACGTGATTTCGGTTCTGTTGAGGAGCGAAGCTAACTTTTCCGCCTGTCTGGCATGATAAGCAGATAGTTGTGGAACTGCTGCATCATTGGAAGCTCGGCCACAGTTCTCTTGGGTTAGGCCACGTATTGCTAGCCCCGAGCCGCGAGCCCAGTGCCCACAGCACAGAGCTGTTGTGTTTTGCTGTCACTTTAGAGCTGTGCAAACTAAGGTAGATAGTTTATAGCGCCGTCTGATTAGAGCTGACATATGAAATATTTTCAAAGATAAACAAGTGGGCAATTTATTTATCATTGACAACTTGGTTTGGCTAAGGTGAAAATTGCAGCGAAATTGAGGTAGCTAAATAAACTTCCTTGCTGGAAAAACTTGATTGAAGTGACGTAAATTGCTGATGATAAATATTTAAGGGAAGTCTCAGTCTAACTTAAGCTTTAATTTTTGATATGAGAAATTTGGAAATTGGAAAATGAATATAAAAAATTTTTTGAAAAAGTATTTAAAGAGTAGCAAAATGCAATTATACTATTGTTTTTATATATACTATTAAATTATATATATATATTTCTATATATCATATATAATTTAAAAATATTAAATATGAAAAAAAAATAAATAAATTGAGAGAAAAAATAAAATCTAAGAAATTTAAAATATGAACTTTTATTTAAAAGGCAAAATAATTAAAAGACAAAAAATAAGATAAAAATAAAATAAAAATAAATCAAGTATGATTTCATTTCAATATATGATTCCGCAACAAAATATAAATAGAAGAATATATATAGAAGAAGGTCAATCCTTTATTATTATTATATATTTTATTTACTTTTAAAAATATTCTCTTAGTCTGATATAAATGCTTGCTCTTTAATCAATGTTTTTCCCTTAATTTATGCTTATTTTTAGTATATTTTTGAACTTATTTCCCTAAGCACTGACAGTTGTCTATGCATTGGCCCCACGAGCAGCTCTAGCTTTTCCCACTAGTTCCCAGTGAACTAAACAGCCTCATTGCTCATATATCGCACCTCAGTCACAGCGACACGTAGCCTCCAAATACAAAGGCAAAAAAAAACTTAACTCGTTTTGGGGGATTTTCGTTGTCGTATTTAATTTTATTTATTTCTGTTTTTTTTTTCTGTTTCATTTTTTGTACTAGCTTTAGACTGTTGCTGCTTCGCTTATGCATTTATGACTGGGGCTCGGTGACTGTTTAGCTGTCTAAACTGTCCGAACTGTCGAGCCGTCGGCCGTCGGCCCTCGCCAGCCGTCCCTACATATACGTGTGTACAATGCGATCCAGCGATTCATTATCTTTGGAAACATCGGCACTTTTGAAACGTCAAGCCAAATAAGAAAAACAAATAAAATTAATGTAAATAATGGACATCATCAGCAAAATGCGAAGTCGACAACGTTGCACGTACTTGCCGTACACAGAAAGAGAGAGAGCGACTGCTGTGTACTTTCAGATACAATATTGAGATACAGATACACACATACACACAGACTGAGACGCGAAACGTTTGCGCAAACGGTTGCCCAGCAAATGAAGCCAAAGGCTTAAATGTGTGTATACATGCATACAATAAAAAAAGTATATGAGATACAACAACAACAACAACAACAGTAACAGCAGCAACAACAACAACAACTACTGGCAAAGAAAATAAAAGATATCGAGGAGCAATTTGGCTGCCACTTTTCGCTGCCTGCTCTGGGCCCGAGCGCTCTGGGTCTGGCCCTGTCTCTGGTCTCTGGCTCTTTGTGTAAACAGAGACCAGCAGACGCGTATACCCAGTGGAAAAAGGTTCAAAGCAGTTGATAAAAAATATACACACACACACACATGCACACAGCTGTAGGCAACACACATACACACACACAGATACACAAGAAAAACACACATGCGCAGAGGGATTTAATATTTGTATAGAAACGAGACGAAGTTTTGTCCAAGAGACGCTCTTAGCGTACTACTTCAGTTTGCTTACAACAACAGCAACAACAACAAACAACACACGACAAGAAAGGGTCAGTGTGTGAGAGTGTGTGTGCGAGTGTGTGTGTCTTCAGTTTTAATCCCTTCGGGCCAGGCTCGGTGTCTCGGCAAAGGTAGCTAATAATCAACAAAAAAAATATATAAAAAAAATCAAGAAGAAAATAATAAAAAAACATTTAAGAATCCAGCAACTGAGCTTGCCTAACTTCTTAATACTCGTTCAGCAAAAAATATATATTAGAATAAACAAAAAATGGAGTTTATAAAAAGGAAATTCTTAATTTTTGTTTAACTTTTTTTTTTAAACAACTAAAATATATTTGAAGCTAAAAACCATTTAAAATATAATTCAAGATGTACTTAAATATAAAATTATATTTATATTATATAAATTAAATATATGCTTAAAATTTTTGTTATATTTGAGTTCCTACTTCGAGTTGATTTACTCTAAGTCTGAAGCAATGGCAGTTAGATGTTAGCTGCTATTTAGATTATATCTCAGTATTATTTCAATGCACTACAAATGATATTTTCTGCAACTTTTGCACTTTAATTGATGTATGTCTAGATGTTATCTCAAATATATTATCATCTTCAGGTAGAGTAACGAATCAAGCGTCATTTACTTAGCCCAGCTCCCAAGCTGTATGCGATACAATTAAATCATTTATCAATTCTCTCATGGAGTAACAAACTTCACGCCAATATCCCCCTTTTCTCACATTGCGAACGAGCATCGAGAAGAAAAACAGGAAAAAGAGAAAAACAAAAGTAAAAGCAAAAACGCAACAAGTTGTAATTATAGTCGGCTGCGTTTGCGTTAATCTGGACAACCCTTTTGCTGCGTCCAGCTCTTCTGCTGGAGATAATCGTCGAGGCTATTAAAATCTCTAGGCATAATCAAGCGCGCTTGTTTAGTTTTCCAAGCTGAAGCCTGCTTACCTGGCTCCTCGAGCGGTGTCTATAATTTTCTTGATTAATATCTGTGCAACTAGAGACAGCTGTGTGTGTGTGTGTGTGTGTGCATGTTGTGTGTAAGTGCGCGTTCATTAATTTAAAAGCTTTGCTAATTCAGCAGGCAAGTTGGATGCGTTTTTGCTAATGAAGTTTTATGAGTTCGCAACGCAGCTGCAGCTGAGATCGGCTCTAGTGAATTACTAAGGTTGTTCGCCTTAATTGAAAAACATCATTTAAATTGCAATGGGAAGAAAAACAGCTACAGAACTAGACTAGAATTGATGGGCTCGATATTGGGCCCAAATAGAACTAGTTTGGCATAGCAGAGAAGCTAGAAGTAAAGGATATCAGTTGCTTAAGAATATATTATCTAATAAGTAATACAAATCTGAAAGCTGCAAAAGGATATATAGCGCTGACTGACTTACTTTGATTATAAGGATTGTGCTTAGAAAAATGTTGGAAAAGTTGATTGGGATCAATCAATCAATTATTTAAAAGTCTTGTAAGCATATAAATAATATAAGTTTCGAGGCAAAATCTGTATTATCTGATAAACCTAGAAAATTTATCTATTTGACTAGTCTTTTCCTCCGCTAAGCTTCAGTCAAGTCGATAAAAACTTTTTCAAACTCAAATATTTTTAATATATATATATATATATATATATATACATATTAAAAATATTTGAGTTTGAAAAAGTTTTTATAGACTTGACTGAAGCTTAGCGGAGGAAAAGACTAGTCAAATAGATAATATATAGAAAATAGATATATATATATATATATATATATATATATATTTAATATATTTATATAAAATACATCTCCATTAACCATTAACATAAAATCTAAGCTAGCCAACAAGAAAAATCTTGAAAATCTTATTTTTTTTTTTTACTCAAAAACATTCAAAAATCATTTTAATCTACTTATTTATGATTTTTTCTTTTTAAGTCCAGAATTTACGAGTCTACCTGAGAAAGTAAGAAAGCAAAGCAATTCCTATCAGTCAGTCTACTCTACTCTACGCTCTTGACTCAACGTTAATCCTCTTAAGTCGATCGTATTTTACGCTTCTTACGACTCTCGTGCTCGTGCCTTGGTCCAATAGAGTTCTTAAGTTCTTTTGTGCCAAGACTGTCAATAACTCATAATCAGAGAGGCTACTTGAGATCGTATAGATCTATTGATCGACGATGGGCATAATCCCAGTTTGTTAACGATTCCAATTTAGTTCTTCCCACTGAAACTCATATTCGTAATTGAGGGCATTAAATTTCATCATCAGAAACTATCGAAAAAGCTTGGCTAGGAGTCTCCGACTCTTCGACACGTGCCAAATGGGCGTGTCGCAGCTATTTTTGCCTTTTATGGTCATTTGTATGGGCCATTGTTTGTCTAGGTTTTATGGTAACAGCAGATTGAGTGTTTTGGCCTTTTGTCTCACAAAACTTTTAAACGCTTTTAATTTGCTTTTGTTTTGTTTCGATTTTAATTAATTTCGACTTTTTATTGAGCTCTATTTTTAGGCATTTCCCTACTGCCTACTGCGGGCCACCGTTGCACCAATATTAAATTTGATATCGCCTATAAGAGGAAGAGCTAAAACCCACCCAGAAACCAGCCAAATGCAATAAATTTTTATGAACCTATTCTTATGCTAAAATGTAGGAACCAAAAGCACAAACCGAATTGCCTATAAACAAACAATGATGAAAACTCCGTTCGGCTCCAGTCGAGCGAGACAAAAGCCAATAGCTCTATAGAGTCCCACCGAACGGAGCCCAAATGCCCCCAACCACAAAAAAAAAAGCCAAAAAAAAAGACTGTGAGAGCGCGGGAGGCGTTTTTCAAAAAACTAAAGCGTTTAAACGAAATCAAAGGAAAATAAGCACAAAAAGATGCTGGAGCGATGTAGATGCAAGAGCCAGATGACGATGACGATGATGATGGTAGAGGGTACCCCAAGCCCCAAACCCCAAACTCCAAACCTCAAACCCCAAACCCCAAGCTTCAACAGAAGCTTGCGGCAATTGCGTTTCCTCTTTGGACACACGTTCTGAACAATTAAAGCGCGCGGCAAGCCAAGCTGGCAACGGCCAAGACGACGACGTCGACTAAGTCCAAAAAAAACCGGATTCAAATTGAGCACGACGAGAGCTGCTGAAACCCAGGCTGAGAGCCCACTGGCCACTGGCACTGGCTACAAGTGAACTGGTTTACAGACAACAACAACAAAAAGACAGTAAAAAATGAGAAAAAAAAGAAAACAGAAAAAAATTCCAAGCTAAAAACCTTCGAGCTGGAGCCCAGCCAGAGCCGAGCGCCAGGCCGCCTGTCAATGGAACGCAGCTCAGGCAGGCAGTGAGGCAGGCAGGCAGTCGGGCAGGCACCACACTGAGTTCGGTGGCAATGACAGTGGCACATGCAGTTGTAGTGGAAGCCGCCGCCAGTCGCCCAAAAACCGCCAACTGTGGCGGAGCCTCCAACGTTGACTTACACAGAGCTATCAGTATGTGTGTGTGTGTGTGTGAGTGTGCTTGGAGCAGGTTTTAGCAGTCAGCGTATTTTTTATTTACTTTGCTACTCGCTACAGTTGAGTCTCTCTCTCTCTCTCTCTCTCTGTGTAGCCTGCTCTCTTAGAGCCCACTCGCTACTCGCCGTGATTTGCTTTTGGCCATAGCGAAAATCAAAAGAAAATAATTAGCTAGACCCTCAAAAAAAAGCACAAAAAAATATTTCAACTGCGGAATTTTTTGGTGGAATCTTTGGAGCTTGTTTTTTGGTACATTTTGTGCGTGTTTTTTTGTAGGGGGTGTTGCCCGCTGCTTGGGGCGTGTTGCTTACCTGTAAACAATTTTGATGGCTGTGCGAAGAGCGCCTGAGGCTCTTTCAAGCTCGGCTTGGCCAGTATATTCCAGGTATTTTCTTTTATATTTTGAGCAACTTTTAGTTTATTTAGTTTTTTTTCGCTTTACTTTTATCTTTCTTTAGGCACTTTTGTGTTTGAACTTTTTCTGATGATTTCTAGAAGCAAACGATATTTGGATATTAGCTATATATGCATATATATATTCATATGATTTGGTAGCTTAGATAACTTGTCGCATTGCATATGCGGGCTGGCAAAATATATTCATTGAGTTTAGATACACGCAGCACAGTTCATACACAGATACAAATGTATCTACAGCTGTATGCGCGAAACAATCACGGCACGATCAGTCGCGCGCGGTCGCGGGTGTAACGGGAGCAAAAGCAACGGCAGCAGCGGCAGCAGCAACAGCAGCAGCAGCGGCAGCGGCTACCACAAACCACGTAGAAGACAACAACAAAAAACACAGACAAAAACAAAAGCAAACCACGTACGAAAGCGCACGATTGAGCCGACAAGCCAAGCGAAACGAACCGAGCCCGAAGCTGAAGCTATACACGAAGCCGAAGACGAGGCGAACGAGCGTACGTACGAACGAGCCAAGCAACAAACGAGATACGGCAGCTGAAATGTGTTTTTCTACATTTTGTTTGAAATAGGAGCTGAAGCCAGTGCAGCTACCAATTCGCTCCTCAAGTAGTCCCAAACTCTACCCACACACGCACGCACACTCACAACCACGCACACTCACTCTCATACTCACACACAAACAGATACACGCGCGCGACGACACGCCACTGAAAAGCGCTTTTCAGTTAGCGATGGTGAGCGGGAGACGGCGTTGGCGACGTTGCAACAAGTTCACTGTGCCTGCATTTTTCCCCCACAAATGCAAGTCACACAAACACACACGCACACACACTCTCTCACAGCCAGACACTCACACATACGTACACAATTGCACTGTGTGTTCAACGATGCACGATCCGCGCGCAGGTGCGTCAGCTACGATCAACTCTCGAAGACTAATCCAACATTGCCGAACGCGCAGTCGTCGTCGTCGCCCAAGCAAAGAGAGCGCAGATTGGGAGAGCACAGAGCGAAGCACAGCGAGTAGCGAGAGAGGGAGAGAGAACCAGCCAAGTAAGAAAACCTCGGCAGCAACAACAATAAGAGCAACTGGCAAGCCAAGCAACTAACCGACCGCCAGTCGCACGCTGCGGACAGACAGCCCCACTCAGCGGACAGACACGACAACGACAGACTGATGGACAGGCAGACGGACTCGGAACGTGCATACGTACGACGAGTTATTGTCAGTTAGAGAGCTACCTGTTTACCGACTGCTTACCGTTTTCGAGGGTAGAGGAGCGCAAGCGCGCGGGTTGCCAGACTGCATTCAGCCAGCCGAACACAGCCTAGCTCAGCTCAGCTCTGCTCCGCTCCGGTCCGCTTCCAATCGGCGAGGGAGTAACTGCGGTGGCCGCTTGCGGCTTTTTGTATAAGTATAACCTGCCCACATATATATATATGGAGTAGGGTATCATTTAGACGAAGTAAAGCACGATATTTACGCGTAGCAAGTTGAAATAGACGAAATAATATTTGTGAGTGCCATATTAGTATTATTGGCTATACGATGTCAGTTGAAGTACTTTAAAATGGATTTGCATACATTTGAAAAGCGTAAAAGATAAGATAAGTAAATAGATAACCCAAGTGGTATGTGATGTAATATTTTATATTATATTAGTATTATGGTTTATAAGATCCAAGTTGAGGTATTTGAAAGTTTGAGGAACTAAAAAGATAAGATAAATAAATAAATGATCAGTTCAGCTCTACAAGTTAGATAAATTGTTTCATTCCATGAGACTTTAAGCGTTTATAATGCAGTATTAGTATTATTCATATATATGTATATATATGTTTAAGGTATAAAAAAGCTTACTTAAGATGGGACTGTTTACTAAATGTAGTTATTAAATGTATGTTGATAAATTTGGCTTGTAATGAAACTTTATATAGAATATACATGTGTACTACATACCCTACCATAGCCTACATGATTTCGAGGAGTTACGACTTTATATATGATAATTCTTTATAGAAATGCCTTGGATTGAAGTTTGGATTTTCATTGTTTAGTTGTCGAGCTGTTGAGATCATTTTAGTATTTTATATTTATCTGATCTAATGGAATGTATATAATATACAACTCTGAATATATGTTTTCCTAGCTATTACCGAATTCCAACAGATTATCGCTTCAACAGTCTGGCAACCTTTTCTCCCGCACATGTAAAACAACAAAAGGTATGCGGCTAAGTATTAAGAGGAAATAACATAACACAGTCAGGGTCTTAGCGAGCTGCCACTGCAATGTTTGTGGTAAAAGAGAGAACGAGAGAGAGGGAGAGAGAGAGAGGAGGGAGTAACGTTTCAGGAAAACGCCCTGATGATGGCCAAGATGCTGCTGATGATGTTGAAGAACCACCAACTGTTTCAAAAAGTAGCAAAGAAAAGCCAGCAGAAGAAGAAGAAGAATAAGAAAAAACTAAAGAATCAGAAACAAGCAAATAAAATACAAAGAAAGGCTCAGGCAGTGACTGAGAAAAGAAGCGATAATTAAGGCAGTGGCATGAGTTGCACAGTGGAACTAAATTGTTGTTGTTGTTGTCAACGCCGTGACTCGAATCAGAGAACAGCGGCAAGTAGTTGCATGTAGCACAAGGCAGAGAATAGACAGCGAGCTAGAGCCAGTGGCAGTGGCAGTGGCAGTGGCAGGGGCCGGGGCACTGACAGGGCCAGAAAGACAACAAAAAACGGTAGCCGTCTCATAGGGCGAGCGAATTGTTATGCTAGTCGTTGCCCGCTCGATGCCGGCTGCCGTGTGTGCATATTTTGCAGCTCTTTACGATCCCAAATAAATTACTCAAAATTTGTGTAGAACATGGAGCTAGCCGTGCGTTGAGCGTCGAGAGGTGAGAGGCGAAAGGCGAGACTCTCGGGCTCACAGGTTCATTGATCGCATTCGAAATGCTTCGTTTTCGCTTCAGCCTGACGAACTGAACCCCGCGGGGGTGTGGCAGCATCGGCTGGTGCAACTTGCAGGTAGTTGCAGAGTTCGTTGCATCATTGAGCCTAATTAATGATCTTTAGACGCATTTCCAATGCCCTCAAGCTGTCGGCAATGTACTACTTTAACATTTGTCATTTGCTCCTGGAATGGTCTTGTAGAATTTGGAATGATAATGAAATGCATTTTTAGGATTGATAATTCTTATAAGACTAACAAAACCTCTTTAAGACTAGAATTCAATTAGCTATGTTTATAAAAAGGGGGATTTGCCTGACATTTTGATATTTCTCTTTAATCCAAATTATCATTATTCTCTTTCAACTTATGTGGGCGCAGTAGATTGAACTCCAAACCTTGTATTGAGTGGGCTGATTTGTGACACTAGCCATTCCAACTGTGACTCAATCAGCCATTTTTCAATCAGAATCAGAAGGCAATGATTCTATCAGTCAGTCAATCAGTTAGTAATCAATCAAGAACTTATAAAATCAGCTAAAGGATCAACAAGTTCGTCAATCAATCAGGCAATTAGTCGGTCAATCATTCATTCACTCTGTCAAGCTGTGACTTACCCAATTAGTGTTATTCATCATTAAATCAATCCTTCAATCAGTCAATAAAATAAGTTATTAAAAGTTATATATATTATAAATCAATCAATCAATAAATCAGTCAAGAAGTTATTTAATCAGTGAATCGTCAAATGAAATACTCTTTCCTTTTAGTCAGTCAATCAATCAAGCATACAGATTGTACCTTATCTAAGCAGTGATTATTAGTAAGTCAGTCAATGAGTCAGTTAAGTAGTCAATCAATCAGGTTGGCAGTGATTTAAGCAGTCAAATCAAACCATCAGTCAGTTAAATAGTTCAGCCAATCAGGCTGTTACTTAATCTATTTTTCAATCAAATTTCTGGTAAGCTGTTCGATTCCAGTAAGTCATTCAATCAGTCAAACAATCAGTCATTTAATTTGTAATATATAATTTGAACTCTCATATATTAAATTAAGCAGATCTGAAAGGTTTCACATCAAAACAATTTATACAATATTTTCTTGGTATATTCTTTATTTAATAATTAAAGCTCTTATTTAGTGTTTTTTATCGTATATATTTTTTTGTTTCGGTATTTTCGTTTAGTATTTTCTGAAATATTTGTTAATGGTCTGCTGGCTGTCACACTGTTCTGTATATATATATGTATATATGGTATATGCATACTAAAAGTATTATCTAAACGAATTAGCACACTCATTGATTGGAAAACTCTATTTAAAATATATAAAATATATTCATGTGTGTGTGTGTGAGTGTGTGTGCGTTTAACACTAACAAAAATTTGTTGTATTTCAATAAGCCAACACTGATCCACAAAAGAAGGGAAATCAGCGCATGTCTAAGATCATATATGTCCATCAAATCGCATATATGACAAAGTAACTACTGGATTGTTAAGTATTCAACGGGCTCGCACAGCATTCTCAATAGTTTTCCCTGCTGGCAATCCCCAGCAACAAAAGAATATACGTAGAACCCAAGCCTATCGATGTTTCATAAAAAAGCTATACAATTATAATATCATAATAAAAATTGTGTCTAACTAACAAAACTTTTCTTAGCTTGCCAACGTGTGTTTCCAATAGGGACGAAAACCGTTTTCATTTATATAAATTTAACTTTTTATTTCTTTCTAATGTGAAACGGAACTGAGACAGATGTTAAACCTCTCCTTGGTACAGCCCATATATATCTACGAGATTTGATGATAGATTTGCTATTTAGGATGATTCAGAAATTGGTCATGAATTTTCATCATTTTTTAGCTTTTTGTTTTTGCCATAAGTTTTCATTTTCAATCTTGTAAATATTATCTCACTGCTTAAGATACCCGTCTAAAATGGATATCCTATATATATGTATATATATGTGGTTGAGCCTTTGATTACCTAAGTATTTCCATTTGATTAAGCCTAATGAATTCTGTTTTTGTTGTACAATATCTAAGCTTACTAAATATGCTATATATGCATGTGTGTGTATGTGTATTCGTGTGTGTGTGTGTATAACAAGACAACCTCACTAAACATAGGCTATAAGCTATTGTAATGTATATATATATATATAACAAGAATACATACCTCAAGTCTCTCTAAGAGGTATGCGCACTTCAAAATAGTTTTAAACCCGATTCGACTGACTGCATAAATTCCGTGTCCTTACTAACTATAAAAACTCTGGACTATTTGCTATATAATTTGTTGTTCTTTCTCTACTTCTTGTTTGTATGTGCTTAAGAGCTAATTTTTGGTAGTACCTAGTACCCGTACTAATGTTGCCATCCGCCCCGCCCTCGATCCGCCCAGATGCTAACTAGTCCATGTAGTAGCTAAAACTGCGACGCTTGCGTCGACTACTGAGCGCCGATCTGGAGCGTGTCTTTAACCTTAGTTACCCGGACTTGATCCAACGATCTATGGAGTACTCCAGTGCGGATATCCAACTGCAAATATTTATTATGTTATATAATTATGGGTTGGCTCTATGGATGGCAGGGCTTACCGCTTCTTGTCCATTTCGCTCTCGGTGCAGAAATAATAATGACGCAATTTCGCCTCTGGTGGTATTATCTCGAATGAGTTCTTTTTGCCGGACGCATTGGCCGACATCGAGGCCACTTTGTAGCCATGCAAACAGGCCATGCCTAGACGACACCACAAATTGATACACAAAATTTAATTAATTAGCTGCATGCGTCTGTTGTCTATATGCCGCAAATACCCTGCGAACTCAAAGCGAGGGAGGGTATGATGGCATTTTGTATGGTAATATTTTTTCAATTCACTTCTGATGGAAATCGAAAATGTGGACCTATTCAGTTTACTTTGTGTGGCTTCTTTCGACTCTTACTTAACAAATTTTGTTTTAATTTTTATATAATTTTTAAAAAACTTCTTCTGAGCCAAAAATTATAAATATATAAATTATAAATCATATCTCTAAAGCGTTCAGAAAAGTTAAAATCATTCACTTCTCGAGCTCATATTCATATATTCTTAGTAGCTTAGGAAGACAGGGTATATTTAAGTTAATAACTCCTGCACAAAGTCTTGATCGAGAATTTCGGCAATTAGTAGTCACTCAGAGGGTATCTTTTGGCTATATATATATATATGTATATATATGTTCAGGTAGACTGTTCTAGAGCAGACTTCTTTTTTATTGTTGGTGACTCACCGAATGCACTTTTGCTATTTGCATCTTGATAAAAATAGAGACAGGCATCCTTAAGTACACAATAGCGTTTCGACCAGCCGCACCACCTTGAGCCCAATTTGAGCAAATAGCCAAAGCAATCGGGTCGCACGATGCTGCCGGGGCTCTGATACAGACAGCGAGCACTACAAACAAAGAGAGAGAGATAGAGAGAGAGTAAGTGAGAAAGAGACAGAGAGAGAGAGTGAAGATCCATTACCTCTTGTCCAGCCACTGATTCTCCTGATTGGCCGCTTGACGCAGCAAATTCAACCATCTGTTGGTCAATTCCTCCGAGTCAGCGGCCACATACATGGGTATACCCTCGCCGGAGTCCACCTTGAAGGCGTAGGGCTTGCCTATGTCGAGGGGGCACAAGTCCACAGTATGCTTGGCCATTATCATGGCGCCCACGGGCTGAGAATCCTAAAAGTAAAAATTTTAAATTGATTTTTAATTGATATATATGGAGATGATGAGGTTTTCCTGAGCTACTTTTAGCAATAGATACAAAGATACGTTTTGGGCAAGTCTATCTGAATTGATATACATTGACTTAGTTCAGTACATATTTATATATATTATATAGCATAAGTTGTCACTAAATTATCTTAAGGAACTTTTCAAACGGTTCCAACTATTTGATAAGCCAATTGGAATTTGTATATATTCCAATTGGATATTTTGTCTCTTATGATAGGAATAACCCCATGTATATAATATATATAATATAAGTATATCTTTCAGTCTGACCTTTTACTAAATCTATTAATAAAAATATTAATAAAAAAGAAATATTACAAATTGTTGAATCAAAAATTGAAAGCAAACAAGAACAATCTCTTTAAATGTGAAAATGAATTCAAATTTTTTTTATTATTTTAAAATATATATTATTTAATATTTATCAAAAAATATTTATTTTGTATTTATTATGTTTGAATTCATCAATTTGTATATGGAATATATATTTCCATTAAGCAATTTCTTCTAACTAAAATCTATTAAAATATCTGTCAAAAATTAAATATTTTTCTAGTCCACTTAATATGTTTATCCAAAACCTATAAATATCTGACTTATTATGTGTAATGCATAAGCTTTATATATAATTTGTTAAATTATAAAAATTATATATAATATCTATATAATCGGCTCGAAATTCTTTGAGTATTTTTTAACTTAACTGCTCAGCTTAATGTCAATGACTTACATCTTCCGTTTTATAGTAGTATAGACAGTTGTCGGGGCGCAGCGAGAACCAACGTCGCACCCACTTTTTGCTGTTAGGCGCACCTTTGGCCTGGCCGCTCTGGCGCCACAGATAGCCACTGAAGATGGGCTGACTGGGTGGCTCCAGCTGCTCGTGCATGAGCACGCCGATGGTGCGCGCCACCTGCAGCTCCAGCTTTTCGCAGCCATCGTGCGCTATCTTGACCACCTCTGTGTGATGCTTGTCCAGCACCTGCACGCCATTAACTGATATGATGATGTCGCCAACCTCCAAGCCGGAGCTCTCCGCCGGCGTCTCTGGCTCAATGGCAGCTACGACCACAGGCTTGGAGCCATGTATGCGAAAGCCGAACTCACCCGAATCGCTCTTGACCACAACCGTCTTGTCCACGCCTGCGAGAGAGATAAACATTTATATATAGATATAGACAGTGCGTATATATCGTAATCCCATGTATATATATATCTATGCTAGATATGATTTGTGTGGTTTTATTTCCGGAGACATTACCGTGCGCCCCGTTGCTGAGCGTTGTTATGACGAAACTCTCACGTGCCCATACCAAGAGCATTAGCTTCAAGACCTCTTCGAGTTTGCGCCGTATCGAGTCCGGCGACGAGTTCGATGATATCAATTCTGTGGCATTTGGAATATACGAGTTGAGCCCATGTGAAATGCGAAATCTTTACTTTTGTTTACCCACCAATCATTTGCTTTGATTATTGTGTAAATAAAAACTTTTTTGTATTTTGAGTAATGGCGATCAATGATCGACGATCGACGCTCGACGCTCGACGCTCGACGCTCGCCTTGAACACTCGGAAACAGTCTGAAATTTCGGTTGCCCAAATAATTTGCACTTTTCACATTTGATAATCGCGAGTTCCGATCGCAGACGATGCCTCGCATCGGCACACAACAAAGCACGCACCGCAACTATTTGCGATAACAGAATCAAACATAAAAAAAACTATTTTTTCCGCTTTTTTAATTCGTTTTTTTCGTATGCCAACTGCCGGTCATGAAAAGCAGCCGCGAAGAGCGCCAGCGACCCACTATCATGAGGAAAACACGCACCAACAGGTGTGCCGGGAAGGTCGAAACTTGAATACTCTTGCTTGCCAAAGCAGAGATACATATCACAGACAGATGCTTAATTTTCTGTCTTCGATTATTCTGTAAGCTGATCGATATATCGATTTATGTTTGGGATAACAATTTTAGTATTTCCAATGATACCAGAAATTTAATGAGTAGCTAAAACTTGCTTTCACATAGCCCTGCATAGAAACGCTCAGCAGACGCACTCCACGTGGCGATCGTGCGTTATAAACGCCGTGACACAATTGTAGTACCCCCGGGTTAGGGCATAAGAATAGCTCTCTCATCGCCATTCCACGAGCACGTTGTGCCAAATATAGAAAACGCATACAGGGTGCTCCCTCTACTTACGGAAATTGTTGTGCTTCTGGCGATGATACATCTCGAGTGTGCAGCGACGCTGAACGAGTCGATGTAAGATCACCTGGTACTTGGCGTGGAAGCCCTTCTCCGATTCGGTGGAAGCGCGACGCTCACGGGAACGATCTGTAAATGAAATCGAGTCAACAATCGAATGGCATGCATAGTTGTGCAACTAACCGAAGCACTGATGATCCAGCTGTGTCCAGAGATCATCGTCGGTCAAGCGCGTATAGCGCCCCGCATCGTAGTGACCCTTATAGATAATGTGCTGGCTTTGTTCCGTATTGATATCGGGCAGCACGCAGGGACTGGAGCCAGCGGGCCGTAGTACTGGAGTATTGGGTAGATTTGGCGCCCGACCACGTTCCTCACTCTGCAAGTAATTGGATAGAGTTCTCTCTCTGTCTCTGTCTCCTGCTCTCTCCCTCTCTTCCTTACCTTAGCACGTATATTCTCCTGCCTGGTCTTGTAGTGCCTGCCGCGCTCGCCATGGTAGCGCTCCTCGGACCTGAAGCGCTTGTCCATCTTCTTGTAGAGCCGCTGGGTGGTCTTGGTGGTCACTGGCGAGTCGGCAAAGTCGGAGGGCGGCTTCACAATATCCGCCTCCTGCTCGATGTAGGGTATGGACTCCACAGAGTCGCCCGCTAGCTCGCTGACTGTGTTGTGCTGCTTGCCCTCCATCTCTTTGCCGCAGTGCAGGCAGTGGCCCTGATCCGCGCTGGCCGCATTGCCATCGGCTTCGCTGTAGAAGACCGAATCGGAGCCAGGCGACACGGAGCGCAGCGACTCAATGGACTTGGCCTTGAGTTGGCCTGCCTCCGAGGCTGATTTGCTTGCGGGCAGCGCAGCTGCTGGCTGCTTGGGCGACAGCAAAGCTGTGGGCGTCGCACAGCTGTGTGGCTTTCTGACAATCGGATGTGGCGGCTGGTCCTGCAGCGTGGCTGTGCCCGTGGAGGAGGCGGATGTGGTTGTAGTTGTGATAACTGTGGCGGCGGCTGTTGTTGCTGGTGCTGGGGCTGGTGCCGCTGCTGCTTTCATAATGCTGGTCATGCTCGCATCCAGCAGCAGCTCCGTATCACCGCTGACGCTGCTGAGGCCATAGATGGTGGGCGTGGCACGTGCTCGTCGAGCGGCCGCCGCAGCTAGCACATCCTCTCTGGAGCTCTTACGCAACTGTCGTCGTATCTTGGGACGGAAACGTTTCATCTTGCTGGGACTGCCGCCGCCTTCCAGAATGCCGGCGCTGTGCTGCTCCGGCGACTGCACCTTGACTGCGCCGTGGGGCTTCTTGATGGGACTGGTCAGAGCGCGCATGTTTTCCTTCTCAATGTCCAGTTTCATGCTGGTCTTGCGTCGCTTGCGCTCGTCATCCTGGCGCTGACGTCGCGCCTTGCAGTTGGGGGTTATCTGCTCCTCGTCGTCCTCTTCGTGTGGACTCTCATAGTAGCCGGAGGAGGAGTAGCGCACCTCGCTGCGCTCATCTTCCGATATGGACTCCGGCTTGGGCTTCTGCGGTGTCATTTCCGCCGCGCTCACCTTCATCTGTCCGCTGGGCGCGCTGCTCACGGTCTGAGGCTCGCACTCCTTGGCTGGTGACTTGATGGCTTGGCCGGACACTTGGCAGCTGCCCGACGAAGTGGTGCTGCTTATCGAGTGCGATGGCGACTTCCGCGTCAGCTCAGTGGCCGAGCCCAAGGGCGACTTGAGCTGCGTCGACTTCACGGACGGCTTCTCGTCGTGCTGCAGCAGATCCTCGCGCATGGAGTAAAGCGAGCTGGCGCTCTCGAAGGAGCTGCCGGCATGTGTCTTCTCCAACTGTGAGCTTTGAGTGGATACTACAATAGAGAGTTGGTTGGCTTGAATGCAAATTCGATGTGTTGTTTCGTTAGAAAGACAGCTAAAGCATTGCGAGCAAGGCGTTCGTCAGGCAACAACAACAAACTAGAGAGAGTTTTGGATGTGGATGAACTAAGAGGCGTATATAAGGCTAGAGGCTATAGGCAGAGGCTAGAGACTAGAGTAGTAGTACTAAGGCAACAAGCATGAGAGGCGTTTGTAGATGAACACTGACTGAGTCCGTGGATACGACATAAACATTCAAGGATGGGACGTCACACACACAGAGACACACACACACACACAATACTTGTTAGCCCCAAACCTGGCACTTGTGTTGTCGACGATGAGCTAGTCGTTGTCGGCGGTGTCTTAATACCTGGTGTACGTTTCGATGTGTCCGTGCAGGTGGCATACTCATCTGTATTTGTGCTGCACTCCGAAATGTCTGCGCTGCGCGCATAGTCCACGCCAGAGGGCAGAAACGAGGCATCCGAGTGGCTAAGCGTGGGCGAAACGAGTTTAGAAAGGAAATACTTGGGCTCAGCGGAGTGAGGAACCAACCGCTGTTTGGGCACTCCGGCCACATACATCAGTTGACGTGCGTCCGGCACTGAGCCTCGAGAGACCATGCTACGCTTGGGCAGCGGCGAGCTAATCGTGTCCGGCAGCTGATTGCTCGAGGGCGTCACGGCTATGGCGGGCATTATGATCGGTTGAGTGGGCGCTGTAGCGGGCTTTGTGGATGTGGGCGTGGGCGCTTTTATGATCTTGGGCAGTGTCTGGAGGCCATAGGTGGGACTCTATGAAGACCAAGAAATGACAAGATCTGAAAGCTTATTCGAAGTGCAACACTCACCAGTTCCTCCAAGTCTAGAGCATCCGTGTCCACGGAGCTGCGCTGCTGATGCTGCAGCAGCAGATTCTTCCGCTTGGACGAGGGTGTCAGCAGCAGATTGGAGCTGTAGGAACCATCGGAAATATCCTTCTGCTCGGCTGTTAGCACAGTGACCTGTGACTCGTTCCAAATGCCGTCGGAGTGATCGCGCGTATTATCATTGGCCAGCGAGTCTGAGGATGGATAAGTTGAGACATTGGCCAGCAGCAGCTCATCGCGGCAGGGGCTGGCCGGCGTGGAGGGCAGACGCAAGCCAGGTGGAGGACAGATGGTTGTCATGGCAGTATAATCGTCGTCCAGACTCACTGAGCGCTTGCGGAACTGGGTGCGCTTGTCCAGGATTTCCGTGGCAGCTGGCTCTATCTTACAGCTGCATGGCGTAATATTCTCATAGAGTGGCTCATCGTCGTCGGCTTGGTGTTGCTCGGAGTCGGGTTCGTGCTCTTGGTGCACCTGCTCGCTGGCTTCCTCCGGCTCGTCCTCCTCCTCGTCGTCGTCCTCCTCTTCGTCGCTGTGCCCAAGCTCAACTTTTCTAGCCTCAATCTCGACTGGCTGCTGCTTCAGCTTGGGCAGCGTCAAGGCGGCCGCCTGTGCCAGGCGCTGCTGCTGCATCTTGCGCATAGCTATCTCCGCCTTGTGCTGCTTCCGATGCTTCAGCTGCTGCTTGGGACTGGGCTTGGGCGAAACGTGTGGCTTGAAGTCTATGAAGATTTCCTGTTCGTCCCTGGGCGACGGCACGTCCGAAAAGCAACTGACCTTATCGCGATGCCGGAACGAGCTGCGTGGTCCGAAGCCATCGATCAGCTTCTCCGTTTGCCCATAGACCGGCATGGACTGCCGGCGCACATCGTCCCGCCTGAAGGGTGACTCCTCCATGGGCAGCATGGACATGCGACGTTGCTGGGCAGCGGCCATCACCTGGTCCATGCACACCTCGGAGCTGTAGCTCTCCGTTTCATGGGCCCTCACATCTTCCTCCTCCTCCTCGTCGTCGTAGTACTCCTCCACGGCCTCGTCGTCGTTCTTGCAATACTCGCTGGGCGGCGGCAGCAAGTGAGGCCGCGTGAAGTCCAGTGGAACGCTGTCTGTCATCAGCTCGGCGCACTCCGTGATGTGCTTGCAAACATCATGGCTGTGCAAAGCATCCGCATGCCTGGGCAGGCTGTTCGAATAGTAATCCGTCTCGGTGCGCGCGTGCGAGGTGCAGGCGCGACGCGGCAAGCTGTTGCTCTCGTAGTCGAAGCTCTCGTTGAGCGCCATGGCAGCTGCATTCACATTCACATACTCCACATTCTGCTCGCCGCGTCCGCGACTCAGGTGCTCCATGCCCAGGCCGTAGCTATGCGCGTCCAGCAACGGCGGCGGCGGCTTGTAGTACATAATATTATTCTGAGCATCGGAGAGTGTCTGCAATGGCACCACATCCTGCGATTGGGTGCGATATATCAATTCGTGCGGATAGTTCGAGCTGAGGAGAGTCGAGGTAAAGAAATACACATTGAAAGTGATTGGAACAGGGTTAAACGGGGCTGGGCACTATGTGCCACTTACTTACCCCTGATAATGCTGATGCTTTAGATCCTTGCCATTGGGTATCTCCGAGAGGCTCTTCGTTAGCTTCTTGCCATTCTGCAGGCCGTTAGTCTGGGCGCCTTGGGACATGACCTGGATGCGATGTGGCGCACGTGGGCTGAAGGCCAGCAGCTGTGAGTTGGAGAGACCCTCGCGACGCGCTGCCACATCGGTTTGGGTGGCCTGCGTTTTCATGGCATTGCGGAACTTTTTCTCCACAATAAGAACCTCGGGACTGGGCGGTGGCAGCGCCACTGGCAGTGGCTGCGGTATAATCAGACCCAGCATGTTATCTAGGCTTACACAAAGATCTGATTAGCAAAGTTTAAATTACAATTCAAGCAAACCCACCTGGCAGCGGCTGGTGTAGATGAATGGGCGCATGATGATGCTGACACGGCTTCAGCTGCACCTGAGCTGGCAGCCAAGTTTTCGGCAGCGTAGAGCTTTGCTGCTGCGGCTGTTGTTGCTGCTGTTGCTGTTGCTGTTGCTGTTGCTGTTGCTGCTGTTGTTGTTGTTGGTGTTGTTGTTGGTGTTGTTGATGCGTGAGCATGGGCTGCAGAGTCTCGTACATGGAGCCCGTGGCAATGATGGGCTTCTTGCCACCAATCAAGCGCTCCTGACTGCGCGCGCTTTTCAAGCGACCCGAGGAGCGAAAGCCCGCATTGACAGTGTCGAAGCTGGTTAGGGTATGAGATCGAGCGAAGCTCACGTGCTTAGTTCTGGGAAAGAGATTTCGAGAGTGTTTGGAGAAGAGTATTTTCAGTTTTGAGAAACTTTCAAGTTTTCATGCTGTAGTTAAGTTAACATTTAGTTATAACAATCTCAGTTGCGATATGTCATATTTGATGTCGTATATTTAACAGCTAGTTAACATAGAGTCAAGTATGTGTTAATAAGCCAACAATTTAATTTAACTACTTGTTAAATATTCGACTAAAAGATTATTAGAAAGTATTATAAGCAGTTCACTGTTAACAATATGTCATGAAGCTAACATTCAGTTTCATATTTCAAAGTGAGCTACTCAAAAAGTTAAGCTGTTTGTTAAGTAATTGACAGAAAGCTGACAGAGTGAGTATGAAATAACTAGATACAAGGGAAGATATATTTATAGAAAAGCTCATAACCCATATATTCAGAAAAATAATAGCTCAAATGCATTGATCATTTCTCATCAAATATATTCGAATGTCAACAGAAGATGAATTAAAGACTTGACTTTTATATTCAAGTTTATCCCATTTTTCATAATAAATCCCTTCTGAAACTAGCAAATTGAACTGTGCTTAAGACAAGCTGTTTAACAACCACTTTGACAGTCACATATGTAAAGCGTACAATTGCTGCTGTGTTGGCAGCTGCTGCTACTCACCTGGGATTGCCAGACTGGTGCTGGTGGTGCTGCTGCTGTTGCTGCTGCTGTGGCATCGGCATTGTGGCATATGTGGGGCAGTGATACGAGCTGTGGAACAGAACACAGACCGAGAGAACTATTAGCAAACAGATAAGCCTCATCGAGTGGGGCATTTAACAAACATGGCTCTTCTTCTTCTTCTTCTTTTTGTTCATTAGTCACGTGCAGACACATAGCGTTTAATAAAATCAAATAAACAAATAAAAAATATATAGATATATGTTTATATATATATATATATATATATATATATATTAATTAGCGCACTCTTTAAACGTTTCTCTTAAGTTGTAATTAAATTTTAGATTTTAAGTTTAGTTTTCGTTTATCACTTTACATACCAAACATTTACATTAGCGATTTGATTGGTGTGTGATGTTGGTGGTGTAGGATGTGGTGGAGCGCAAAGCTCGACATAATAATTCCGTAGCAAAACATCCTGGTAAAAGGATTCAAGTGGTGCTGTACAACAAGTTGCCCTTTTTACACATTTTGTTCATTTAGTTATTGGATTGGTTTCAATTGTTTAATTGGTTTTTAGTCGGTTTTAGTTTTGTTTTGTTTTGGTTTAGAGAAGTGGGGAAGGTGAATGAATAACGAAAAGTATATAGGAAATATATTTTACAGCTTCTTTTGATTTCGATTTGAGGGGAGTTCGCAATTGCAAAGATATTTCAGTGTAGTTTACAGAAAGCGATAGAACTTGGAAAGCAAAAGCGTTTTTTGTTGGCAATATGCGCAGATGATATGCAGGTTGTTGTTGTTGTTGTTGCATGGGAATAGTTTCGAGCAAGCATAGCAAGCATTTTACATAGTATGCATAGATAGGCAGGTAGATAGAGAGAGTGAGAGAGAAGGCGAGCGAGCGAGCGATACTACGGATAGTGCGACAGTTAAGCTAAGCATGATCTCTAGCGACAGTTTGACATAGCATTTTACAATATGGTTTTTGGCTGGGAGTTCATACGGCAGCTACGTGTTTCGGTTAGACTCGTACCTCGAATCCGTCTGGTAATCGCTGTTGTTGTTCATCTGCGCCGATTGCCCTATCCAGTTGTAGCGGCCACCCAGGTCCGGCTCACTGGACTTGCCAGTGCTCAAGATCGATGCCGGTTGACGGCGAAAATAGGAACTATCCAATTCGTGCGTGTCCGTATAGTTGTTCTGATAGCTAAGAAGGAGAAAGACGCAATGAAGTGGCTGATGAGGGCTGTCATGCTGCTCATACGCACCGCGGATACTTCTCGAAAGGCGCATAGGCAGCCAGGTTCTCGTCGGAGGGCACACGTCTGCCCACACAGCCGCCCAGAAAGCTGCTCGCCTGTGTCTGACCACGGCGCGAGAGACAGCCAAAGAAACGCTCTCTACGCGGACGCTGCTCAATGCTATGCAGCTGACGATCTGTTAGGCAGTACTACAAAGTAGAGAGCAAGAGAGAGCGGTATATTAGTTATACATGGCATAAGGTGTAAGTGCCTCACCTGTTCTCTTATGTCGCCGCGCGAATAGACGGAGGTGCGAGGCTGCAATTCGGTGGAGAGCGTTTGACGCAGACGTCGACGACCCGTGTGCTCATCTTCAGAGTCGTAGCTGCGGTCCATGTGGCTGGAATAGGTGGCCTGATTGGGATCAGAGGTTGGTGTATTGTCAGTGTCAAACTTAAAATAAGAAACAAAAGCTAGCAACGGACTAAGTGTCGAATGCGTGATATTACGCATACGCAGCGTGTAGCGTTTCAGATTTGCTTGTACGAAAAAGAATTTGTATTGAAATAAAAATAATAACTAATAAACTTAATTGAAAGCGAAATGTTGTTATAAATCAAAAATCTTTCATTTGGACCGTAAAAATTATCTATTAAAAAATAACTTTTTAGATATTTAATTTTCAAATATTTTAAAAAGTGTTTGTGATGTGACTAAGACTTAAATTATTTTAAGTTTCAGTTTTTATGTGAATGGCTCAAGAGAGTTTTATAGTCTTAGTTGACTTTATGTCAATTTCTTAATTATATAATCCACACTATATAAGACATTATATACACTGTCTATAAATCTATTTCTATTTGCTTGAACTACTTATAATAAATTTTCATTTCATTGTGAATACTTTGAATGTAAGAATCAATTAATGTTTATATAAATAAATATAATAAAAATGTCAAGATTTTCAAGTAACTTAAAATGTAAACTTAAAAGCTTAATAAAAAACTTTAAAATAATAATAATAATAATACAAATAATTAAATTTTAAGTAATATTTTTTTGGGCTTAAAAAAATTAAAATAATATTTAATCTGTTTATAAAAATTATACAAAAATATAAACTACAATGATAAAATTTAATTAATGTTTTTCAATTGACTTTCACTTTCATATTATGATGATAAAAGATTTTCTATTTAATGAGAATTATTTGAGTTGTAGACTTAAATCAATTATGAAAACTAATTAATATGCAAATACAATTATAAATATAATATTACTTGAAGAAAATTTGAAAATATAAAAAATTAAAATATAAACTTTAGTTAATTTATTTGTAATCTCAACTAACTCTCAATCAGCTTAAGAAATTCATAGCTCCTGCGCTGATACTTAGCAAAAAGCTGACTATATTATAAACCATCAACCTGCAGTTAAGTTAGCATAATCTCTTACTCACACCAATTTCTCTCAGTGTTTTTTTGCTTGTGCTACCAACCTTGGTGGAGACCTCAATGTTGCCCAATGAGACAGCATGATGTAAACCTGCAAAATGAATTGTTGGTGAATAGCTGCGTTTGTTTCCATTTCTGCTTAGACAAATGAATCACAATAACGTGGAGAGTGTAATTGTGTGTGTGAGAGTGTGTGTATGTGTGTGTAGCTGTAACTATGAAACTGTTTTGTGGCTGTCTCCCAACTGACATGTTTATATGTTCAGTCAGCTCAGTGACTCTCAAGGACTTACCAGTGCCTGTGGCCGAGCCAGTGGCAGTTGCTGATGCTGTGCCACGCAGGGCGATATCCATTTTGGCCCCAAAAATAAATGTTAGCAAGCACACACACACACACACACGCACGCACACACACGCGCGCACACCTTCAACTCCAAGTCAGCTAAGGCTATATATAAACTTTTCGTTGTTGTTGTTGTTGCTTTTGTTGTTGCTGTCAATTGTTGGATATTCACTTTGTCTGCATTTGGAGCTGTTTCAGTTGCTGCTGCTGCTGCTGCAACATCATCATCAGCATCGAGCTGATCATTATGGTCATTATCCGCTTGCTGCTGAGTTCAATATGAATAATTAAAACTTAATTTCTTTCGACAAGAATTGCGTTCGTTGTGCTTGTGCATTGGGCGTTGCAGGAGCAACTCTTGTTACATGCTTGTTGTTGTTGTTGCTGTTACTATTATAGGGTGTTATTTTCGCTGCTCCTTCGCTGTATACCCTGCGTTTGTATATCCAGAGTCTGGACTTATGCAAGGCAACAGCAATCGATTTTCGCACGCAGAGCAAAAACACACGGAGAGAAATCACTTTTGGTTACGTGTGAGAGTTATGCGTGTTTGCCTGGTGGCTCAAGTGTTGCAGTTAATTGCTGGCCAACGCGTGGCAACTCCGTGCTGGCTAATGTCTTTTTAATTGTCTGCTGGAAAATGTAGAAAATCGCTTGCCACAAAAATCACTTTCGGGCCTCCGCCTTTGCGTGCGACGTGTGTGTGTGCGTTTGACTGGCAGCTATTGCTGCTGCTGCTGCTGGTGCTGGTGCTGCTGCTGCTGCTGATATTGCCGCGAGTCGAGAACGCTGGCTCCGTGCGCCGTGGCGTTGATGCTGGAACTGATGCGATGCTGTGCCACAGAGTGCCATCCTAACAGGATGCTGCCAACAGCAGGAGAGCGAGCGAGCAAGAGAGCGTTCAGAGAAAGCGTTCAGAGAGCGCGCGTGCCTGGAAGCAAAAGGCAAACACAAAACAGATGTTTACGACACCATTCGCAGCGAGACTGTGACAGGGCGGCGGGCCAAGCGCGGTGGCCACAGCTACTGGCGGCAGTAAAAGCGCAACAATGAACGGCGCCTGGAAGTAGGCAACAGAACGTGTGCGTGTGCGCATGACGACGCGGCAGAGACGCAGCGTCGCTGCTAACTGCGACAGCGAATGCTGCCGCTGCTGCTGCTGTGTCAACAAAGTCACAGCACAGCCAGTTGGCCAGCACACGGCTAGGACACGGCACTGAGCACTGAGGTTTTCGGCTGTCAGCTGCCCCTCTTCACGCAAAAAAAGAAGAAGAATAATACAACATTTGACGACAATGCGGCGTGAAGTTGACTTTGGCGTGCGTCTGTTTTCGCACGCGTTGCCAGTCGCCGAAAAATTAAACGAGCGAAAGCTGAACAAAAGTTCGATTCGCAACAACGACGAGCCTTTTATGCTCTTTCGCGTGCTGAGCTTTACGCATCTGCCGCATCTTTTCCTTTTTACCTAATGAAAAACTTTCTGACTCAAACTTTCTTTTGTTGTTCCCACAGCATCCACTCTAGGTCAAAGCGGCCCTTGACAAGGGAACCGACATACCATATCAGTTCATATTCCCTTAGGCTTCATATTATATCTGGCACATAGTGCTTCTGCTCTACTTCTACCGCTTCGTCTACTCAATCCTTATCATTTGACTTGATTAACCCATTCAACTTCTTCAGGCGCCTAATTAATTGGCTGACAAGGAAGCCTTGCACTCAATTTATTTTAATTAAAATTAAAATTTTCGTATATATCTACAAATGTAATGTAATTAAAATAAAATTTGTGTTTTCATTATTATTACATTTTTGAGTACAGTCAAACTAATTAGAATACTCCAGTGAGGATAAATTCTATGCTGCGCTCATATATAAGCTGAAAAGTATTTCTGCGTCACAATTTTTAATTTTTTTATTTTTAAATTGAACATAAGGTCTTAAATAAAAACTTAACTCAAATCGTCAAGAAAATATTTGAAAAAAAAAAATTAAATTAAATAATTTTTTTAAAGAAATTTTAATCAAGATTACATAAATTAGATTACATTAATCTGTAATCTGTAAATATTCAATAAAATCAAGAATAAAGTAAGACAAATTCTAGCTTGTCATTATCTCATTATTTGGTACAATCAAATATAGCTCGGTTTTTATAGCCAACTTTGAGGCAGAGTAAGCCACACTCCAATTTACTTCAAGTCTCGCATCTTGCCTTTTGGCAATACCTGCAAAATGCTGCATACAAAGCTGGTTCCATATATGTTAGGTCTGAAATTTGAGCTTTGCTTAACGTTAATCAGTTGCTCTATTCACCAACTTACTCATGCAACTTAAACGGCTAGAAATTCTTTAGGCCTTATAAGAAATACCCAATTTCCCGTAAAATGTTGGCAACTTTAATTAAGCCTTTTTCCCTTACCTGTACCTTCAATTAGCAGCACATGTATTGCTTAGTGTGAATTGACTAAAAATGTACACTAAAATCGAAATGTCATTTATAAATTTTATAAACAGATTCTATTGAGATCCGTGAGAATTTTACAGCTACAAACTGAATAATTAAAGGGAAATGCTCCAAATTCGGACTAGAACCAGCACACGAAGCATACACAACAGTTACCGTTTCTGCTGTTTGCGTAGTTGGCACACACACGTATATAAATATATATGCATATATATATATATATATATATATCTATATATGTGGCCAAGTTGTATAGTCGTAAGACATTTATATAAATTCTCTGGCTGGCGGCACAAATTGTCTTATGCATTTCGGGCTGGCTTTACGGCTTCACTGTCGAACTTCGGTTGGAGGCCCGCGGCTGCCGCCTGTCCTCTAGCTTGCCTTAGTTAACAGACGCAAATATTGCCAGGCTTAACTGTGCTTTGTGCCCAAGTCAATATCAGGCAAATATTAAGCATACGCACAGTGCGCCAGCATAATGCATGAAAAATTGAGCATGTCATTGACGCCGTCGTCCATTGTTGTTCTTGTCTCGACAGTTGCTGTTGCTGTCTCGGCTGTTGTTGTTGTGTTTGCTGCTGCTGCTGCTGTCGACTGTTTTGCAGTCTAGGCACGTTCCATAACGTTGCCCCGGGCTGTATGTACATATTATAAAACGGAAATGGAGCCTGACTTCAACTTCGCTTTGGGGTCAAAGTTTTTAATCGCCTGGCATTAGAGTTGCCTATATTGCATGTGTGTGCACGTGTGTGTGTGTGTTTGTGCACAAATTGACGCTTTATGTTAATGCCATTAATTAATAAATAAAATATGACATTTGCGTGAACCTTTTCTGGCCTAGGATTTTATTAATTTTTAGCACGTAATAAATAAAAGTTTATTGCGGTTTTTGACTCCGTGCGAATCCCGTGCGATCCGTGGTTAAACCCTAGCTGTGAATTTTAATTCCACTCCCATCGCCTGCGGCTCTTTCAATTTGCAGCTGAGACCCGAAATTAGAGGCAGGATTTACGATTTTCTATTTGCTTTATTAACATTTATCACTAAGCTACCAATGATAAAGAGTTACAAATTCAATTATTAAAGTACAAGTTTTATGAGTTGCCAGCGAGCGGAACTCGCGATGGCGCCTAGTTCAAAAATTTTCATATCTAATGTAATTTATTTTTTTTATTACTTTTCTCTGGAATTGTTTTTAACTACAATTTTACCTTAAGTTAAATAGTTTTTATGTTTTTTTTTGTTGACAAATTGAAATAGTATTTTGTTTCGAGCTTAGATTGGCGCATTTAGATATGCATGAATTATGTGTGAGTGTGTGGGTGTGTGTGCGTGTGTGTGTGTAAATAATTTATGTTAAATTTATGCAAAGTTTTTTGCACTGAACACAAATGGCGCAAATTGTATCGCGCCGAAAGAAAAGGTAAAGTTTTTATTTCTGATAAAATTGTTTAAAGTTTTTCAGCAGAATTTATGTGTAATTAAGGTTTTTTTATGACATCGCAAATTGGAGTTTTTTCGATTTTCCATTTTGACATTTATTCCATAGTAAATTTGCTTTTTATTGCATATTTTGGCAGTTTGTTGTTGTTGCTCAAGGCAAGCTTTTGCGTATTAATGATACCCTTGCAGACTGTGCCAAATGTCTCTCAATAAATTATTGAACCCGTATTGAAGGCTGCCCTCAATGCCAACTAAAATTTATCACTGTGATAAGCAAGGTGTTAACGCATAAATAGGCTGAGGCAGGCCTCAAACAGTTTTACCACGTTTTGTTTATGGCCCAAATCAGTAGTTTAAATAATCGAACAATTTAACACAAATTGGCATTGTACTCTAAATAGCTGGAAATAGCTGAATTTAGTAAGCATAAATTTAACTATATTGGATATAGATTTAATTTGAATTGCCGAAGTAAAATCTGAAATCTGAATAGGATAAGTTTAAACTGCGCCATCTGTGTAAGCTACTCTTTGTATATGTCATTCGTGTACAGAAGGAGCAGAATGTGCTCATCTTGAGATGTCAATTCTCTGCCTCAAATGAGACTCAAAAACTGACTTAAAATGACTCGAAAATCTGACTTAATAGAGTTGTTCAGGTTCCGGCTGTAGCCCAGCAAAAACCTACTAAACTCTGTTGTCTCCTGTTGTTATGTATCATTGAGTTCCTCAAGGAGCTTAACAATATCTTCTAAAGATATCTTGGGCAAATCAGGAAGAATTTTAAGATTCAACTGAAGATATCTTAAACAAAGTAAGACAAATTTTTAATTTTTTCTGCGTTAGGTAAGGTCTAGGAAATTTGAAGCTTTCTCTAAAGATGCCCCAAAGACAGTCTGAAAATGTTAAGCATCACTAAAACTGATAACCAAATGTTGTTCTATAACATTCAATCATATTTCCAACTTTAAGTAGAGCTACATGAAGTCAATCTGCAAGTCGAGTCGACTCGCAATTTTTACAAAGATTTGTGAACTCGTCTGCAAGGGTATGCGATCTTCGGTATACCGTAGATTTTTGTTACAACATTTAGTCATTCATTAATTTAATGAATAAAAGACTTAGTTTATGTCAAATATAATTGAATTGGTGCCTCACTTAATTGTTGAATTTGTAATTCAATTTAATTTCTTTGCTTTCCCCCTCCCAGCTCTTTTAGTTTCGCTCATATATTTGAAGTATTTGCACATATGTCCCCATTACGATTAAGTTGTCTATTTAATTAGTTTATTTAATTATGAATTATCTGCTGCTTGGATTTAAAATGATGATGATATCATATATCGATAGCATTGTAATATCTGCATTTAAAAATAAGGCTCAATCCCACAACGAATGGTAAATGGCAAAAGTGTTTCAAGTATTTGCGCATCTTCAATGCATGTAGAGCACACGGCCAACTATATATATACATATATATATAAATGGAATATTTAATTTAAAAATAAAGTACGGAAAGTATGCCGTCGCCCGTATAATTGCCACGACTCGAGTATATTTCGTATTGGTATCGGTGGATAATTTGTATGTTTGTATTAAAATGGACCATTTAATATGTGTTCGACCTGCTCTGCTGTTTGGCCTCTTTGTTTATTCATTTGTTAATATTTATCTTTCGATTCTTTTTTAATTTTTTTTCTGTTATTTGTTCTTTGTTGCGTTTTCTTTTGTTATGAAAATTTTTTGCCTGGTAGCAAAATTCATTTAAATACTTTTGTTTTGAGACAATGATAAAGCTTTTCGTCAGCTAACTGTTTGCCTGTGTGTGTGTGCGTGAGAGAGTGTGTGTAGGTGAGTGTGTGTGTTTGTGTGTGGTTTATAAATCTTAGTTTATGCTTTAGAAATCGACAAATTCAATGCACGGAAACCGCACAGTATTAGTATTGTGTATTGTGTATTATAATAGGTTTATAGTTTATAGAAAATTCATCAAGTTGCGATTTTTATTTTTGTTTTTTGTTTTTTTTTGTTGTTTTTTTTTTGTGGGATTCTTCGACTTGGACTATAGTACGTGCTACTAACTACGACAAAAGACTAGAAAGATGTGACAATTCGGAATTCGATTCACGTAACTGGAGTACAACTACAAAATAACTCTTACTCTTCCCGCCCCTAGACAGAGGTGGTGATTTGCTCCACGAAGTGAACGGGACGACTTAGCGATTGGGAACGCTTCAGCCGGCATTGCGGATTGCTTCTGGCTGCCTGACAGCTGTTGCCAGCTCCAACTCCTGCTCCGGTGTGGCGACTCTGTCGATGTGGCGTTCGTTGCAATGAGGCGTAGGCGTGCGGCACGTAGATAAACTCACGGGATGGCGCTGCCCCAGCTGCCACGCCTGCCCCATGACGGCAGTTACACTGCTGCGACATGGTCGATAGGCCCTCTGGCACGCTGCGGCTGCGTGCCGAACTGCCGCCGCCGCCTCCATACGTGGTCGAGTTGGGGCTGCAAGTACATATGAGTGGCTGCCTGTCCTGAGATCTGCAAATAAACACGTAGACAGAGAGAGTGAGGGGGAGATACTCTAGAGAGCTGCTTCAGCTGCATAAATAGCGCAAGTGCAAGTGCAATGATGTTGTTGACATTTTGTTGACGCTGACACGAAGCCGAACAACTACCCATTGCCTTTCGAAGGCTTCATGGTATTTGCCACCAGCCAGAAGTTTGGATAATTGAACGTCAGTTACCCGTTAACTAGCCAATCCATGCCACCCACCCATTACCGAAAACCTAATCAAGCTGAATGCATGTACTCAGCCTCGATTGCCTTCAAGTGCATACAGCCAACATGCTCTGCCGATGCATTCATTCAAATAATAATTCAAGATACGAGTATAATAATTCGAAATTAATTTACCCATTCAATGGGTACTGAAGAAAACTTTTTTATATAAATGTTTCCTGGATAAATATTTTTGTGGTATTTATACTCATTTAACTATCAGCTCTGATTTACGGACCATTTAAGGGAGCCTTGTTTGGTTAATTAAATTAAAAACTGAAAGTCATTGATATTCTGATTCAATGATTGATTGATATGCTGACTAACTGATTGACTGACTATTTGTGCTCTTGATTGAATGACTGATTACCTAATTTACATTGATTTGCTAATATATTGACTGACTGATTGACTGAGTACTTGAATCAGCTTTTAATAGGCTAATGGAGTCCATGATTGATTGATTGATTGATTGATTGACGGATTGACTAAAGGACATTGATTTGCTAATCGACTGACTGACTGAGTGACTGGCTATTTGAGTGAGTTTTTAATATACTGATTGATTGAATGATTGATTGATTGATTAAATAATTGATTGATTGATTGAATGACTAAATAAAACTGATTTGCTAATTAGCTGGCTGAATAAATGATTGACTATTTGAGTGAGCTGATTCAAGTAAAGATTGATTGATTGATTCATTGACTGAATGACATTGACTTGCTAATATACTGACTGATTGACTTCCTGAATCAGCCTTTAATAATATAATATAATGATTGATTGATTGACTAAATATCATTGATTTTCTCATACACTTAATGATTGATAACATGACTAACTTTTGAATATTTGATTGACTGATTGAATGCTTAATTGACTCCCCGACTTACTGTTTATCTGTCCGATTTACTGACAAACTAAGTGATAAATTGACTAATTGCCTTAATGATTTGTTGTCTAATTGATTATCTAACTGGTTGATTGATTTACTGACTGATTGTCGTAAGAATGATACAGTAATTAACTGACTGACTGACTGACCAACTAATTGACTTGCTTCATTTCTGATAAGCACACAGATTAAAAGCTATGAGCAAGGCAACTACAATTTGTAAGCAAGCCACAGCTTAGGTAGAAAGTGAAGGATGGTTTTTCTTTTTACTTTTCACGCTGCAAATTGATGATAAACGCGAAAAAGGTTGGGTTTCACTGAAGCCAGCTGCTGTCAAAATCATGTAAGCTTAACTAATGAACTCTCAAAAGTGTGTCTTAGGTATGGGAGCCACAAGTGAGGTGAGGTTGCGTGAAAACTGGTTAATTCCTCAAGAGGAAGAAAAAATTATGTGAAATATAGAACTATATTTATAAAATATTAAATCTTGTTGGCCAGATTCCACTAAACATGAGAATACCACTGGAAATGTCTCTATTTGGCTTAGTAGCTTTAACTTAGCTAACTATTAATCATCAGCATTGCTGATTAACTTAAAGAACTTCTGCCCCACTGATGTTGGCTGCATCGATCTTACTTACTTGGGAGACTTGCGACAGCCGAGCTCGTAGGTGCTATGCCAGCTGCAGTACATCTGGCCATCGCAGCAGTTGTGCTGCTGGATGAAGGAGAGACTACGCTGCAGTCGCTTGCCCATCTTGGCGCCGATGCTGCCCTGGCCCAGCTGATAGGGCGTGCGGGCCTGCTGCATGTCCAGATTGTGACAGGCCAGCTGCTGGGGATGTGGATGCGGATGCGGATGCGGATGCTGGTGTGCATGCTGATGGGAATGCTGATGTAAATGAGAATGCATATGCTGAGCCGGCAGATGATGATGCTGCGGCAGATATGGCGTGGGCGTGGCATGCGGCTGCTGAAGCATGTGACGTTGACAGTAGTGGGGATTGCTGGCCTGCAGATAAGGCTCCATTTGATTCAAACTAATGCAGCTGCGACTGAGCAAATCAGGAGCAGGATAGTCCCCATAGCCATAATCCAAATGCAGATTCGGACGATGATGTCGAGCCGAGGAGTGCCGCATCAGCATAGGCGTGGGCAGATGCCCATTGAGATGCCCGCGTTGCTGCTGCTGCTGCTGCTGCTCCTGCGGCTCGCTAATGAAGAAGATTATAATGCCCGAGATAGCAGCAGCCGCAGAGCAAATATAATAGCCAGCACGCCCATATTTCAGTGAATAATCATTGAGGAACGAGGTGAGGGGCACACTAATCAGCACTGGCACCGACTCGACGCCGCGTATGAAGCCTGCAAAGCACAAGTTGAGCGAGACATTAACTCCAGTTAGAGCTTAGTGAACAGGCAAACACCTACCCCAGGCCTTGGAGAAGTGCTTCAGCTTGATGCGTTCCAGTGCCAAAATCTTCAGCGAATACTGAAAGCCACCCAGGCCGATGCCGTAGAGCCAGCTGAGTATGCAGAGTCCTTTGTAGCCCATGACAAAGGATAGGAATAGTATGGCCAGCGCAACAATGGATATAAACAGCTGCAAATAGATGGCAAAAGTTAAATTTAATTAATTTTTCAACTTAGATATGGGCATCCCAGATTGGATAGAGCAGCTCGTTCTCTCTCTCTCTCTCTTTCTCTCTCTCTCCCTCTCTCTCTCTCTCTCTCTCTCTCTCTCTCTCTACCTCTCTCTCTCTGTGCGCCGCGTGATTTCCAAAATAAATATTTAATCCTTCCCGCATTTTCTACCCGAAAGGCAGATTAGGCGATTAGCGGGACTATAGAATTTTAATATTTTATATTCTAATCTGGCAATTAGGTTTAAGCATTCTAATGCAGAGCATAAATTTATGATTCTGCAGACATTAAATAGATCTTAAAATATACAATGTACTTTCATGGTTTTTTAAATATTTAATAAATAAATGAATCTTTGACAAAAGAAAAAAATCGTTGGAATTCCAAACTTTCTAAATGTGACTATTGTACAGTCAATCAATCAATCTATCAAAATAAGACTTTGGGCGTTAGAATCATAATAGCAGTCAATCATTCAGTCATTTAATCAAAATTTCAAATAAATTCCTTTTGACTTGGTTTTCATGTCTGTAAAGTTGGCTTAATATTGAAAGTAAGTCTAGCAGCCAATCAATCAATCAATCAATCTAAGTAACTATTTAGGTTTGTTTTATCCTTCTGTTTTGCTGCAACTTTAACAAGAAATACCAAATGTCTCCATTAGTCAATCAATTCACCAAGCAATCAATCAATCAAAATAATATGCTAAGTAAATTCTTTTGCGATTGGCTTTCATAACTACAAAGCTGACAACATATTCCAAGCAGTAGCAATCAATTAATCAATCAATCAGTCAATCGAACTATAAATTTAAATCAATTCTTTTAGGATTGACATACATAAATGTAAACTTGACATTATATTGCAACAATTTCTATTAAATTTCTTCAGTCAGTCAATCAATCAATCAATTTGTCAATAAAAATTAGCTTTTTAGTTTATTTTAATTGATTTATTCTGCATTTTTCTCTAAGGGTGATAAATGCATCTATAAGTCAATCAATCAATCAATCTAAATACGCTTTTTAGTTTATTTTATAGACTTGGACCTTAAAATATGTCTATCAGTAAATAAGTTGGATATTTAATGGACTACTCCATCAGCAATTTTATATATATATGAGACCCCATCAATCATGGCAGTGACATTTTTGTCTAGCTATCCTGCAGTCCATCAATTTTTGATATTTTTGACTTGATATTCTGTTTTTTGCTCAGCTCAGTCAACAGCATAAATCAATGATGTCCTCAGCCAGTCAATCAATTAATTATATATAACTAATTACATATAAATCTATTTGAATATATGGCGAAAACTGTGTAGTTGGGTCAGCCGTTACCTGAGCAACAATTTTGGTATTGATCACAAATTGTCGTATGACAAAGCAGCGCCGCAGCAGAGCACCGGCTAGAACTACGCCCAGAGCCATGGAGATGCCCAGAAAGGTTTGCAGCAGCACCAGCTCTTGCACGTCGGAGCCCTCTTTGGCAGCATTGAGAGCCTGGCGTAAAAGAGGAAAAAGTTGTAAAACTGACGTTAGTGGAAATTGAATTGAACTCACCATCAGGAACATGGGCGTATAGATGCCAAAGGCAGCCACACTGGAAGTCATCAATAGGATCTTAACTGTGGCCGATTTCAACGATGATATGTCCAGGAATAAATATCTAGTCGGTGATTCCACTTCATGCGTTAGTTTTGGTTTCTTTTCGCGCAGCTAAACACAAAAGTCAGTCAACAATAGGCCTTCATGTGCCAGGATGTTTTTCGTGCTCACCTTTTTGCGTTGATTTTTGAGATGCTGGATGGCACGACGTTGCGGATGGTATAGGGAGGCTGGTCGATACATGAGGCCCATGAAAAAGCTGAGCGCCGTAAGTGCGGCAACGATTTGTAGGCCCAGGCGCCAGCCGGCCTTGCCCACGCCCTCCTTCAGAATGACGGAGAACAAAGCGATGCCAACGCCCTCGCCGGACATGGCCACCATTTCGACGAATTGCCGGCGACGCTTAAAGTAATTGCCCAGCATCACGGTGGAGGCTTCACGCACCATGGAAACGCCGATGCCAAAGACGATGCCTGCCAAGCAAACCAAAATGGTAAGCAACGCATCCGGCATACAGCTTAAGTATATTCCCCTAGCACCCACACCAGCCCCTCCCCCTCTTTCTGTCTCACACACACACACACGCAAATATATAGCTTTTAGACTTTATATACGCACCATAGCTAAAAACAACCTGACCGAATTCCGTGGCAAATGATGTGAACAGAATGCCCAGCGGCATCACAAGACCTCCCACAATCGAGAGCAAACGTATGGAGCGTTTCCGGCACAGCGAGACCACAAACGGTATGGCCAGCATCGAGATGGACCAGCTCAGAGCGCCCAAGAGCTCTGCAAAGGAATTTCATAATATTTTTGGATATAAATACATGAAACAGAAAACATTAAAATTCATAAAGCCTAATTAGCTACATAAACAAATTTCTATTTGTATTTAATTTAAATACACACTTATTTTTAAAATAAATACACTTTTTTATAAATATTGTAATGAAATTAAATTCAAAATAAAGCTAATAAATAGATTTAAAAAAATAATAATAGTCGCCTTAATAGTTTAATAGGAAAAGTTTCTGTCACATAGTAAGAGATTGTTTTAGTTATTTAATATATATATTTAATTTGTATTCATGATAAAAGACAAGTCTGTTTTTAAATGTTCCTTTGTCTCTTTTATATAAATAAATATCTTAGCTTAAAACTTTTTTCATGAAACTTCCTGTCTCATGTCATGAATCAATCAAATTAAAAGTTTGCTAAGTAAAATCTTTTAAAATCTTTTCTTTAAAATATTTGTAGCGAGCTCTTCAATTGTGACTTTTAATGTGAATAGTAATTAATTAGACACAAGACTAAAGTGAAATATTACCGTTATTTCCAAGACACATTATTTAGTTCAGTATAAAATATCGCCATTTAGTATTGTTTTAATTTGTGTGAAAAGTGAATGCGAAATTTGTAACAAGTTTTTACTTGAAGTTTTGACGAATTAAATTTAAGCAATGCCTAAATGTTCTATGGAACCTAAGCTGCTAAAAGCTGGCAAAAAAACATGCAACATAACGGATTCCAGCCAAACAAATCCCACCAGAATCATATCAAGTGGCATAAAAACATTTCGTTAATAAATCAAAATTTAAAATTTAAAAATATAATTAACTAAATTCCGAAGATTTCCTATATACCTCTATCAATGCAATACTTAATACAATTTATTTTATTTTATGTGCAAAATAAATACCTTTCTTTAAACACCTTTCTTACTACAACTGCTTATCTTAACCAATTCCAAGCATCCGACTTACGGCTCATCAAATTTTCACCTTTCAAAAGTCTTTCAGCTTACCTATGCCACTTGTGTTATGCAAATGTTGAACGGCATAGAAGAGCAACAGGCCGTAGCTGAGCTGGAGGCCCGTGGTAAGAATGTGCACCAGAAAGGAGACGCCGCAGATGATCCAGCCCCATCCGCCATCCGGGTAGAAGTACTGCAGTGCGTATGTATGGCAAATGCAGTCAAGAATTATTCACTTTGACAGGCAGTTAGAGTTGTAATTGGGCTGGACGTGCGGCTTACCTGTCGTATGCGTGTTGTGTCTACGCCAGTGCGACGCAGCGCAGGAATATTGCGATGCAGCAAATGGAACTCACGATCGGCGAGTGCTGGAAATGCTGAGTCCTCCTCGTCGGTTATGTGGCTGGGATGATGGGCAGTGTCAAAGCCTGCGGCATGGACAATTGAAAGTTGATTAAATAGAAAACAGCACACAGAGGGCGGCAGGCCAGGCTCATTACTCACCCAAGTAGCAGCCGCCATTGGGCATAAGTGGCTTCGGGGGCGGAGGGATGCCTCGGTGCTGTTGTTGCTGCTGATGTTGCTGCTGCTGCTGGTGCTGGTGCTGGTGCTGGTGATACCAATTATCGCAAACGCAGAGCTCCGGCGCGTAGTGGGGCGTTGGATTGTAAACATAACAACAGGCATTCAAATTGGGATTCGGATTGGGATTGGGATTGGGATTGGCATTGCCTGACGCATACCAGCGCAGGCTGGAGGCTGGTGGTGGCGGCTCCGGTTGTGGCGGCATTGAAGAAGCCGCACAATGTCGACTGCAGGCCGCATTCCCATAGCTGGGCGTATGATGAACCTGCTGCTGCTGCTGCTGTTGCTGTTGCTCGATGGTGGGCAATGTGGCATAGCTGCCAAAATTGTCACAATGTCGCTTGACGCTGGCCTGCAGTGGAAAGCGCGCCGGATTCGGCGCATGGCAATGATGGGTCTGGGACTGGCCCTGAACCGCTGCTGGCTGTGACTGCATTGCTGGCGTTGGCATTTGAGGCTGTTCAGCGGGCAGATTGGAGAGACGCGGACATGAGACCCACCAGGCCAGCGGCTGGTTGTTAAATCGGCACTCGGTACACAAATATCGTGGTGTACTGAGTGTGGTGGCTGCCTCCTGCCGTGCCTCAGGGCTGGCTGCAGCTGTGGCTGTGACTGTGGCTGGGTCTTGTGCCGGCGCTGGTTTGTTGCGGCCTTGTTGCGGATGTGGATGCAGTTGTGGTTGTTGCGGCTCGGGATGCTCACAGCTTAGGTTGTATCTTCGTCACAGCGCGCATTTGTTGCACAGCACGGAGGTTCTGTGCTTGGTGCGCACCAGACTCGAATATGGCCTCAACTCACGCTCCCGCTCCTGCTCCAGGCTTCGACTCTGACTCTGATTCTGATTCAGATTCTGACTCTGACTTTGACTCTGGCTGTGACACGTTTGGCCAACGGGCAGCAATTGGGGACAGCTGCCGTATAGCGCTGATGAGGTATTCGATAGCCGGCGATAGTAGGACAAGCGATGCTCCATATCATTGCCAGCATCCAGGGGCGTGGCTCGTAGTCGCAGCGTGAGGCGTGGCAAACAGGAGCTGCGGTTCTCTCTATCACTGCAATTGCAATCGCATGTACACTGGATGACCATTGTACAGTTCGCACCGTGTAGTATAGTGTATAGTGTTCTGTTGTGCTGTGTTGTGTAACGTTGTGTGTGTCTCCACTTCAATGCGTAGAGCACATGATTCACGCCGTTGACATTTTCTAGGCCAGCGCCAACCAACTATATCCAGTTGGGCTCAGCTCTGACATTTTGGGTCAACGAAATCGCCTTTTTTATTGCTGTTGTTGTGGTTGTCTTTGTCGTTGTTGTTCTGCTTCTGTTTTTGGCACTGCAAAAATTGAGAACGTGCACACATTGCATCAATAAATAAATAAATCAAAATCAATTTGTTTACTTCACGCACACACACTCGAACACACACACACACGCACTCTGCACACATATTTCATATGCATAATTTAATTTGGTGTTTAATTGCGTGAATTTGCCATTTGGCTGCCAGCAATTCGAGTTCAACTTGAATGGGAGACAATTTGCTGTAGTGGTCACAGCTCGAGAGCCCATCGAATTAGATAGCTTAAAAGCATTTCGGTTAGTGGTTTTTCGCATTGAAGCACTCTCGTGTGCGAATTTCATGAAAGAATCATTATGCCCAAAGCCTTGAAAGCAATAGTTTTGTTGAACAAAGCATCTCAATCAGTGTTTATAACTTAATTAAGGGGCCAGTACTATTTTATAAATATGGTACTTATATATACATATTTAAATACAACATAAATTTTGTTGAATATTCAATCAATAAAAGAAATTTAATTTATATTCGTTTAGGCAAATCACTAAGTTTTCAATTTTTCATTATTGCAACTTTAAAGCTTGATTAGGCTAAGATCACTTCCTAACTTTCAGGCAGCATATGAGTATATATATATAATATATTATATCATATAAGCATAAGCATAAGCATATAGCAAGTACTTTCTGGTTATATGGTTTCAAATAATAATAAGAATAATTATATTAAAAATGCAAACAATATATTTATTTTATGTATTATTATTATAATTATATCGATAATAAATTAAATTCTTAATTAAAAAATTTTAATAAATATGTAATAATTATATCATATAAACTTCTTCCTAAACATATGTAAATCAAATAAATGTTAAATAAATAAGTCTAGATTAAGAACGTTTATACTGGCTTATAGGCCTTTTGACTAATTAGAGTTAGCTAAATGTGCTATAGAATCTAAGACAACAAGCTGCTGCATATAATAAAAAAATATTAATAAAACATATATATTAAATTTATATGTAAAATACAGCAACATAAAAAGATTTGCATACTTTCGGGCATTTGCTTTAATACATTTTTGCCTAACAACCCAAATGCAAATTATAAATCTGATGCATTTTTAATACATTTTTTTGATAAATCAAATATGACAAAGAATACTTTATAAATATAAATTATTTGAAATACATATTATTTCGAGCAAAAAAATTAATCTTAGCAAAAAAGTTGTAAGTACATAATATATAACAGTATATAGGTAGATAATAAATTTGCAACTTAACATTAATAAAAATATTCATAACAATGCTGATTTAAATATTTAGCATAATAAACTTGAATTATTTAAATATTTAATGCACTGCACGACTGACCAACAAGAGAACTGAAAAGCGACTGAAGATGCGCTCGAGCAGGCTTGCCTTTTTGTAGGGCGAAGTCGAGCTCGAGTCTGAAGCCTCTCTCCGAGTTGGGTCTTACGCTCGAGCATTGAGTGACTAATCGAAGTAAGAGTATTTTCTTTGGAGAGAGTTTAGTATGAGTATGGAAAATTCGACTTAGATGTATTATCATTATCAGACCCTGCAGAATAAAGCACTACGCAGATGGACTGGAGCCAGCTGGTTTGTAAGAAACTCAGTCTTACATAGGGATTTAGCAATTCCCACAGTTGCTGAACTCATTGGGCGACACAGTTCAAGATACGCGGACAGACTTGCAGCGCATCCTAACCATCTCGCAAGCAACCTGGCTATAAACAACAATAGGCGAAGACTGAAGAGATTGCATCCTCTAGACAATATTAGAACTAATTAAGATAGTAGCTACAAGTGCAGAATAATTGGCATATCTGCCCTCCCATTAGTTAAGGTTTAGAGCTAAATGCGCTATAGAGTCTAAGACAATAAGCTGCAACAAAATAAAGAAATAAAAAAAAAAAAAAAAAAAAAAAAAAAAAAAAAAAAAAAAAAACTAGTGTTTAGTAGTAGTAGTCTGAGTGTCATAATACCACATGCACAGGGTCTTTGTATTGGAAATAAGTTATTTTTTATGTGAGAACAGAATTCTTAAATATTCTAATATCAGCATAAGCTCATTAATATTCCTCTTTTTCTCAGAGCTTATGTACCAAAAAACCAGTTATATTTTCCATCATCGCTTGCAGACTGAATACATTAATAAGCAAATTTATCATAAAACATGAAATAAACATAACAAGCAAACGAACCTAGAACTCTTCGCGCTTTAGCTCCCGCTCAGTATTGAGTAATTTCCGATTGTAAGTAACTAAATTAATAAGCTGGCATTGAATTAAACAAACAATTCGAGGGGGTTCGTTCGCCTGGCAAACGATACTCATTCATCTGTGTTCAAAGAGGAATCAATCATCACTTATCGACAATCATGGCACACACACAACAGCAACAGCAGAGGCAGCAGCAGCTGCGAGCAGGAGTCCAACTTGTTGAAGTATTTATAGCTCGAGTGCGTCGCATAGTTAACTGGGCTAAAATAAGATAACTGACAAGTGAGCCACATCAATTCAATTTGCGCAATAACCGCTAGGGAATTACAAGGCGAGAAGTTGATTATGGCTAGAAGAGCTCCAGCTACAGCTCGAGCTGAACTAAATGGAAAAGGAAATAACAAAAATTACTTTAATTCGAATATTTGCAAATAGTTAATCGAGTTAAAAGCGCGCCGCAAACAAACAAGCAAATAACTTTTAGCAGCAAAAGTAGGCGTGGCAGTGGAGGTGGGCACTGAGGCCATTATTCGACCGAGCTTTGACTTTGAGAAATTGACCAACTGATTGTTCCAGACAGTTTGGCACTTTTGTTAGTAAAGTTCTGTGTTCGCACTCATAGAAATTTCCAAAAAAAAACCAAAAAACGCAGAGAATTCAACAATGAATGTAGGTCACAAATCAATTCCGCATACACTTAGAAAAATTGAATGTTTAAAGTATTTAAAACAATATTTACATAATTTTTAAGAAGCGAAAACAGAAAACTTTTAAGCTATGAATAAAACATGTGCCTATGTATAAAAGTATATATTATATATATATATATATTATTGTGTGCATAGAAATATAATTCATGTTTAATATACAGAAATACAATGAAAACTCAAGGAAATTTATATACAGCGCTCTATGGTTGAGCGGAGGCCGTGCTCTATTGACGCTTAAAGGAAAACTCTTATTCAATTTATATAAGATTCAAGCTCTAAAAGTTTTAATACAAATCAACTGGAGAAAGAATTTTAAGAGGATATTTAATATATAGTATATATATAAATATCTAAATATATATTTAATGCTTTCCTGAAAGTCTGCTTGTGTCAATTTTAATTATTGAAATTTATTTCGTCAAAAAGCTTTATTCTAAAATGAAAGAAATATTTTTTTATCTAAATAAATTTTGAAAAATTCAATTTTCATTCAATTTTCATTAATTTGTATATTTCAGCCACAACTTCAAGTATATTTTGGCAAGTGCAACAGCCTTAATCTCTTTTTATTTTAATGACAAAAAAAGGAAATTGCAAATTGAAATTTTAAGCAAGCCCGAATAATGTTTTGCTTCAGTCATGCACGGCTACTGCTTCTTCTTCTGCTACTTCCTATTGGGCTGTCTTAAACTTGATTGATTTGTGTTGTTATTTATGGAACGACAAAGTCTTGTATCTGTCTTTGTAGCCAGAGCCGATTGTCAGGCTTCGATTAGCCCAGTGTACGTATAGCAAGCTATAAAGATGATAAATGATTTGGTTTGTTCAGCTCGGCAACAACAACAACAACATTATAAACAACTAAAAAGAAGGAAACCTGCATCAAGTTGCATTTGGGGCTGGGCAAGTGCAACACCTACCAAAGCAAACAGCATCAATTGCGAGCGCTTCATCCGTTCTCACTCTCTCTCTCCCTGTGTGTGTCCCACTATTCCATTTTTATGGCCTCACATAACGATTTGGCCGACAACAGCAAAAAGGAACTTTTTACAATGCACAACGGCGCATTTAAATTGATTGTAAGCAAGCGAGAAGCAAAACAGGAAGCATCCAGCGTACAGCCAACATCAATCAAAACGCATTGTGCCCGAGCGCCGACGTTAAGCATACAGCGGGGAGCTTCACCGCCAGGGCACCGCACGAAGCCAGCTTAAATCGAGCCACCCAGCCAAACAAGCAGCAAACCCACCCATCCGCCCGACCAACCAAACACCCACCCACTACCTGTGGAAGCATAAAATCCAAGAATAGCAGAAGGAACAGCAGCAGCTGCAGTAGCAGCTGCCGGAGCATCTACAACCAATACATAAAGACATCCTACTCTGGCCCAAACACTTCCTTCACAGCAAATGTGTGAGCATACATAAAAGAATGCCAAAAGTCCCATAACTACGAAATACCTGTACAAGCTGCTTACACGCAGCCTAGAGATGGCAACGTGAAACGCAATCTTCAATATTTAAAATTAATTAAGCCCACAACTGTGATGTGAAGTTGTACCTCAGCTACATTTTTGTGTTCAAGTTAAGCTTGATTAAGCTGAAAGAGATGCAGAGCTATTTGCATAACTTTACCTTTTCTATTGCTCCAAGACGCTGCGCAGGAAAAGTGATCTTTAAAGCTATGCAAAATATGATATCCTTGCATTATATATTTGCATTACATATTCTAACTACATTAAAAAAGTGCAGAAATATAAACATGATCAGCTATAAGAGTTACTCCAAGAGTAATTAAACTAACAACTTGAATACTGAGAAGACGTATTTTTATGCAATTTGCTTATTTCCTACTAAGTTCATATCATAAATAAATATCAGCTCCTAACTTTACCTGCTGCAACAGCAATCAATACATTTCCGTCTAACCATTTACTCCTATTTGAATTGCGACATTATTTACCTACTTCTACACAAGGTGTTGACTTGATTCTTAAGTTCTATGGAAAGGCCAATATTTAATACAACTAAAAGCATTATTATAAAAATATAGAGCAACACGAAAATACAAATATAT